GCTACTGTGCTGATATATCACCATAAATCTTCTACTGTTTATGTTCGTATGGACTGATGTTCATCAGATTTGTTAATTATTTCTAAATGTCTACCAAGGATCATATCCAGAGTTCTTCATTACTAAAATTCACTGATTGCATTAAACATTTATTTTCAAAGGTGCACGATCAAATTTCTGCTTATGTTATAACAGTTACATCTAAAATGGGATATTAATGGATGTTGACACACAGAACTCAAGAGACAGGTGGTTGTTTCAAAATATTTCAATCTGACCCGATAATTCTTCACTAATGTTATGCAAACAATAATTACCAAGAAATCCTTTGCATACTCTTGCATTTATCGATATAAAGATGTAGCCATATGTTTCAGAGGTGAATCTGTATGTATACACCCCAAGATTGTATAGCTATTGTCATCAGTTGTGTGCATCTACTGACGAAGGACATTTTCTTGGTCATAAAAAGAATTTTTAAGTTAGAGCTAAGGCACACTGCTCACCAGGTATACTCAAATTGACTTCACTGTTATATGTTAAAAAAGGTTTTGCATTCAAGTGAGGAAAACATGGTTGTTAATTCCAGCTTTGTAATGCAGTCTGTTCAACTTAAGAAGACTATCAAGTCTCAATCATAATTAATGTAATAGTATTATCATAAAAACAAAAATTCATGAGATATTCACGTTCTTCCATAATCACCAAGCATGAGTACAGATGATCATGCCGAAATTAAACTTATACAGATTATATGTAACAAAAGTTTTATCACTTAATCACATTAGTTTAGAAAATATTTAATTCTTTACCTACATGCTATACATCCAAACAAATGATCATGTCTCAAAGCTCACTTACTTCTGAGAAGATGATCCTTAAACATTTTTATCATTAATATTGTTTTCAGTTTATCAAATCATGCGAAATTTAGTAAGTTTGTCGAATCCATGTCATGAACAAATCTGTCACCAAGTCACATTATGATCGCATATATCTATGTAATGTTACAGTGTTCATGGCCTTGTGATTTGTTAATGATTTTCAAAGTTTGATGATTTTACCAATTTAAAACAATTACAGAAGTAGATCTGTAGCCAATATGGTAGCTACACATGATATCGGTGTTTCAGATTCCTACATCTTGTAGTACCTGGACAGAAGATATTTCAACATGTTCAAGACCTTTCATGATTTTAATCCAGCTCATCTCTTCTGTCTGCTGTGACTTAATGCTGATATGATGTTCACACAGATGATCGACAATATATGAAGCCATAAGCACACAAGGACCTTTGGTCCTGGTAAGCAAATTACAAGTGTGTTGGTGAGCATCTCTCTTTCAGAACATTAAAAAACAAAAACATGACACAGGCTGTGACAAACAAGTGTGAGTATAACCTTGCACCATTTGATATTTAAGTAAATAACTTGTGATCATTGACCTGTTTGTTATCTGAAAAGAAAATCATTTTAACCCTACTGATAAGTCCTGGTTTATAGACGAACACATTCAGACTTTGTTTATATCAGATGCATATATTTTAATGTATATATGTCTCAGAAACATAGCACTGCAATTTTAATGTGTTCCTCAAGTTAAACAATTCCTTCTAAGATCAAACAGTTGCTAGAAGCAAATACATTCACCAAACATGATCATCATGTGGCAGTACTATGTGTGCTCCAGAAATTCCAATGCCAAACAATTGTCTCCTGAAAATGTCCTGTCAACAAACCATCCTGGTCCTGCCTTAGTGTGTGCCTTGGAAACAAGTCTCACTAACGGATCACTAGCTGCCTGAAACAAATTAATGTTTGGATGTTTGATGAGTTACAGCCTGTAGGTTTAACTAGACATTTTGCATCTGTTGATCAAATTTCAATGATGAGTGAGTGACATTAGCCACTTGTCCGAAGCCCAAGTCAAGTGTAAATGATGCAGAGATGTGGCTAGTAGAATCAAACCTTCTTGTTTCTGGAACTTAATAATTGAAATATAAACCCGAATATGAATCAAGATCCAACTATTATTAATAGAGATTGTGGGGTAGTATGTTTTTTTACACAAACTAAATAACTGAAATATTTCTAATTTCTCATTATGAATCATGAGTGAGTGAAAGAGTCGGGTTGTATAGTTGTACATCGCCTTTAGCAATATTCCAGCAATATCATGGCAGGGGACACCAGAAATGGGCTACACACTTTGTACCCATGTTGGGAATCGAACCCGAGTCTTTGCCATGATGAGCCAACACTTTAACCACTGAACTATCCCGCCACCCTTATGAATCTAAGATAGAAACATGACAAGCAGTGTATTACTGAATCTTCTGGGTGCTGATGTAGGAGTTCAATCACAGAATTTTACCACTTACAACTCGGTGGTGATATCAGTTTGTTTAACATATTTGTAATTTCATGACTTGTTCATGTGCAAGTGTGCGACAAATATTTTCTCTAGATACAACAAGTTTGTTTGTGACTAACTCCATTCCAGCAAACATTCAAAACATCTTGAGCATTTTTGAAAACTGAAGTAAGGTTTGCCAGTCTGGCCTCACAGTTACCAGATAACTGAGAATATAATTTCAATTTGTGAATTAAACATTTTGCCATTCTGACCTCAGCATGAAAGAATATTGCCACAAAATGATCTTATTGCTCAGACAATTGTAAGCCCATCTCAAAACATAGGAATTTGACTGCTGTAAGCCAATGTTTAAGTATGGGAATTACAATCATCTTAGCACATTTGTGACAAGTATCTAAAATATAAACAGTGAAAATATTTTTTATATTAGAGAAAATTCTTACAGTTTTCACTAAATGCTCAGAATCTTTCCACAACACTGAACAAAGAACAATACAATATGGCCATGCCAGAATGATTTTATTAACAATGACATAATCACACTGAAATTCCACAAGCAAAGCAAAAAAAACATAATTCTCACAACATCAAGTTAGTAGACAGGAAGTTCATGATGAAGGTGCTGTGAATTTACAGGAAATATTTCATGCACATGCAAATTATAAACAGGATGCACAAAAACACATGCAGATAAAAAGCAAATATAAGGATGTGTTAGTGTTTGTGGTCATAAGGCAAACAGAGTTACTCCCCTTTGTGTATCTTTTGAGCAGATGAAACCAATGGGGTTTTACAATTTAAGAGAAAGCTGAACTGGGTGATACATTCATCTATGAGGGGAGCTGAACCCAGGTTTACTTGTAGGTTATGGCAAAAGGAAGCAATACCAACTGAGCTACCTGAGGCCTCTACAAACAACCAAATCCATTTACTAGACACATAGCAAATGCACATTTCACAAAGCTAAACAACTGGCACCATCAATATGGATTTCATCAGCAGTGTTCAAAACTGTACTTAGAAAGAAGTCAAGTGGTTCCCAACACTGAAATACTGTAGCAACTCTTGAGGAATCCAGGTTCTTCCTTAACTTAAAATGTGTGAGTAAGTTGGGTTTAATGCCACTTCTGCACTCCAGTTGTATCACAGGGAGGAAAACCAGAAGTGACGCAGGTCTCAGAAGTTTACCATTTTATTGAAACCCGCAAGCACAGTTATAGTGCTGTCAAACTAAAATATATAAGACAAATCTTACGGATAACAACTTCTTGATTTATTTTACACAACGTTTCTGGGCTAGCCCAGAAACATTGCGTAAAATAAATCAAGAAGTTGTTATCCATAAGATTTGTCTTGTATTACTACACCAACTTCTAAATGCCTTTGAAGAATTTTAAACCAAAATATGTTCTAAGCAAACCTGGAATCAAACCAATGATGATATGATTCTGGCATGCCCAATTATATTAAGTGACACAAACTTGCACAGCAAAGATCCCATTGTATATCTATCATGTGTATCATAAAGTCTATCAAATTCATCTGCAAACAAATTTTCAATATTGATCCCTAAATCTGTTATTCTGTGTAAGATGGAATCTAGTTATAAGTGTCTGGCAAACGTGTGAGTTAGGATTAATGCCTCTCTGGAATGCATTTCAGCTGTATTACTGCACTTACGGACAAAAAAAACCATGATGATGAATCAAAACATGTCATGGATAACTATGAGGATCTGTCATATCCTTGAATGTCTAATAAATTCCTCTACCTGCAGTAACATGAAGTTGTCTGAGTTGATTTCACCCAACACATGATAATGATATCGATAAAATTCTTCATATTGACATGTATGGTATCAATCTACAAAAAAAATGTGCCCTGCAGTATTTTGTCACCATGGTTAAATGGTTAAAGTGTGTTGATACAACTGCAAGTGTTAACATCAAAGTGACACTGCAGTGATGCAATATATTATCAATCAATGATTGGCTATTCAGATGTAATCCACGAAATATGGAACATGTTAATGTAAGAATGATACATCTGGGTTAGGCTTAAATATAACAGGCATTATCACAATGTACGTAAAATTATACGACCGGTGCAGACACAATGGTTACAACCGTTTGTGACAAAGATTGATTATTGTGACACCGGCAGCTTTGAACGATTGGTGTCGAAATATGCCACCAGTTGTCCAGGAAAGGATTAAATCGGCATGCATTTATCAATCATTTCTTTTTGTCACGTTTGCAAAACAAGCTACGCAAGCGATGATTACATACCAACACCGTTAGAATGAAAGGAAATCGATGTTGTAGAAGATTCGTCCATCGCGAAGTCGTAGAAGAACGAATGTTATTGTGTATTACGTCAATGAAAGCGTGGCTTGTCAATTTCAGGTATTTCCGGTACTTCCTGGTATTACGGGCTGGAAAAAAAGTTTACTAAAGAATCTGCATTTTGTCAAATATGATTTATTCATATTACTATTTTCCTATTAATATCTTAATTTGATAGCAACCAAATGCGAGCATTCGAACATTTTATCATTTTTTGACCTAATTAAACAGGTGCGCGCCTGCGATATGACGTCATGAAAGAATGCACGCGCGAACTTTCAATCTCTTTGGTGCGTCGCGTGTTCGTGGAAGATGTGAGGTCATGTCGCGTTATTATAATCACCATACAGGTATGTATATATATATATACGTGAAACCTAGATTCACGCATTAGTTTGAACAGGTGCAAAGAAATAACAAACATGCAGAAAACATAAGCAACCGAACTGACTTTGACACATTTTTTATTGACCTGAGTTTGGGAACAACATGGGGAACATATTAGTCATGTCTTGACTGTAGGAACCTATCGCGGCTCTCGGCTAGCCAATATTTAGCCGATATGGGACCAAAGCAGGGTCTCATTAAACAGTTTGTGCAGATCACGAGTGTATTGTGTTGCTCTAGGAGTGGGTGGGTGGGTGAACACTACATACTAGATATTACTAGCTTAGGTTATTATCAAACTAACATTACAGGTCCTACATTTTTCCAAGGAAATAGTGCCTTTAGTTCCAGTCACCAGTTATGATGAAGGATGTGTGAAGGAATGAAAGGATTGTGATTCCAGTTGTTTGTATTTGAAATTAAAGAACAAAGCCCAATAGGTCCTTTTTCATCTGCACTAAAATTTCTCGGTCCCGAGATTCTATCCAATCAAGATGTTTTGATTTGTTGGACACCTTGTCCAAATTACTAAGAGGTTAAATGCTTAAGCAAGCTGACAATGTAATGAATTCAGCTGTCTCTGTGTTCTGGTACACTTGCAATAACTGTGGAAAGTATTATTCAAGATCTGATACATCACATGACAAATAATATTTATCTTCACTGGCTTCCTGTATCAAGCAGAATTCAATACAAACTTCTTCTTCTTACACACAGCTGCATCTATGAAAACATGTTTTCTCAATATCTTAAAAGCCTCATTCATCTCCATGTTCCAAGCCGATTGCTCCTCTCGTCAAACTCCCTACTGCTTACACAGCCTCACGTCAAAACAGCCATGGGATCAAGAGCGTTCTCTGCTGCAGCCCCCTATCTCTGGAACATTCTACCACTCACCCTAAAAGAAATAGAATCTGCTGATGCTTTCAAAACTGCCCTCAAAACTCATCTGTTCAAACTCTCTTTTCCATAGACATTGTCTACAATCTTTTCTCTTCATAGCGCCATTGAGCAATATCTTTTGGAAATAGGTGCTCTATAAATCAATTATTATTATTATTATTATTATTATTATCTACTCACAAATATGTTCCCAGAACATAACAAGACAAATATGTGTTATTGCTGTTTGTATTCCAGACATGGATGAAAGGTTCATTTATATACCAACACAAAGTCCCACACCTTCTTCCCCTGACGATGTTGATGAGGAACAATGTTTGTTTGATGACATGCCCTTGTTGGCATATGGGAAGGAGGAGGAAGTTAGAGACACAGCCTCACAGATAGATGCAACGACACAAGCTTCTACTTGCCACTGGCCTCCAGACATTAAGTCTGAAGAAACAGTAGTACCAGACGTTAAGGCAGATGAAGAGTATTACACTTCCGGGGAGAAGAAGGTATACAATAGCTCTCTCCTCTTAACACCTTTGCAGAACTGTCATCTTCCTTTTGCAAGGATTTATCTTGAATTCCATACCAAGTACCAACAGCAGGCAGATTGGATAAAAACATAATTGAATTGAGGTATTAATCAGTGTGCGAAATTTACACTGGTCCTGCGGTCCCTACTCGTCAAAGTTTGCAGTGGTCCTGGTGGCCAGTGAATTTAAAAAATAATTAAACAATGTTAAAAGTTCAAATGAATATAATAGTATTGATAGTTAAGTAAATCTACAAATGTTATTTTGGACCAGTGAAGTACAGACAGGATCACTAATTATTTTCCACTCACAGGTCCTGTGGTCGAGTGGGAAATTTTGAAAGGTTCCTAACACTGTTTAATGAACCTGTTATATTCTTAATTTAAGATGTAAAACTAATTAAACGTGATAGCCTCTTCCTCTTTATTGGTCCTGTTATAAGTGTCACTTTAGACACACAGACAAAGTCATCATATTTTGTCATCACAACTATGTTAACAACTGGGGAACTAATAATTGAAATTCAGTTATTCGATACCCTTCATCATGCAGTGGTATTATCTATGAGTAAATGGTCTGATGTTAATGAGATTGTGGCTAGACTTTCATAAAACACCATTTACTACTCAGTTTCTCAGCTCAGTTAAAAACTTAAGGCACTCACGCACTGATATTCATAGCACATTGCACTGCTTTAGATAGGGGTGAAACAGTATACTACCATATTAGTAGAACTGCAGTATTTTGCCTTTGGTTTTGTATACCATAATGCAATCCAAAAATTTGGTGTTTTCGTACGGTCATTTTATTGATCTTTTTAAACCTTTTCTAAAATGTCTAGAAATCAAATCATTTTGTCAAAATCTATGCATTTCTTTGCTTGACAGCTGCTATTTTTGTGGAAGTAAGTTATCATATACCGAACCGAAGGCCTTGTACCGCAATACTACCATACCATGGTAAGAGCATACCGTTTCACCCCTAGGTTTAGATATGGACACTCATGCCTCATTATCAAGTGACCCATCACTGGACAAATTATTTCTCCTATAGTTAAAATTGAAGGGTCGTCATGTTTTGTTTTGTATTTTCACAATCCACATTCTTTGACCCATTGAAATCTGAAGCACTGATCTCCTGTATGTACAAACTGGACATGTTGGTCACTGATCAAATCAGTCTACCAGACATCTGCTGATTAGTGCATATTACATTGTTTTCTTATAACCAGATGTTTCTTTTGAAAGTTATCAAGGCCCCCAGCCAGAGAGTTTTATTACTTCTTGTCTCAAAATACGGATGAGGCTTCTCCTTCAAGCAGACGAAGAACAAACTCCTCCAAAAAGAACAGAACTCCTCGCACTGCTCTCAAAATGATGGAGAGACACAGAGAAAATGAGAGGTATGTTGTAACTTGCTGGAAAGTTGTGTATATTCCTACAGACAGTGTTCCAAACAAGTGCCTACATGTTTGTTGGTAGATTTTGTAGTAGAACCAGTTTCAAAGTTGTATGGAGACTTAATGCCTGCAGTAACTTTGCATGTCAATTCATTTGGTACAGTAGGCTGAATTTTTTTTAATGAGGCCTGAAATGTTTAGTCAGGTGCTGCAGCTTCAAATGTGGACATATTGTTCAGAAAAATAAAAGAATACCATCATACCCTGATCAGGAGATTTGAAAAAGTGTTAGAATTTAGTCTCCTTATAATTAAGTCTCCTTATCCAAATGGACACCATCCTAAACTACATATTGAATTATATACATACTAATTAATATCAAGGATACATTCACTGCCACATAGATTTCTTGGAAGTAAGAGTTAAGTTACTAAATGCTAAAGGCAGCCTGATCTATTACACTTGTGTTAGAGGAACTATGGGGAAAGTTACTGATTGGAGAGTTGGAGACTCCTGCATTTGTGAAGGATATGTAGGCCAGACCATTTTTATTTCTTGTTTTACGGATTTTTGTCCTCAGAAAACCTAAAGGCAGGAGGGGAAAAAAATAAAAATAAAATCACCAGTTAAAGTAATATTCCTTCTAATTATTAAAAGTATTTTGCTTCTGTCAATTTATGAAGTGTATATGGGGCAAAAAACAATCCCAAAACAGTTTTCTTGTAAGTTCACTTTTGCCCAATGAAAACAAGGATTTTATTTTTTGAGCGGGGAAAATGAATTATTATTTGTTTCTTACTCTTGAAAAAATACGACCTGCGGATCCGTAAAACAAGAAATAAAATTGGTCTGGCCTTAATGAAAACAATGGTGACAGCAGTAATGCACAGGATCATGTGGAGGATAGAGGAAATACTGACTCATTTTCTCCCTAGTTTTGCCATGAATAAGTGCTCTTTTATCTCTAGTGCTTTAGAGTATCATTCCTAAATGACAGTGAACTATCTCATGCTTATGGTACAGATATAAATTTGAAATGTATCTAATTGCTATATAGTGAGGGCAAATTTCAACTATTTTTTAGACCTATTAATAAAAATTGCTGTATCTGATTGATTTCATGCACCATGAAAAATGCTTTCAGAACTCGACATCATAACCTAAATGACAGTCTGGGTGAAATCTGCAAAGATGTACCTGGATCCTCACATGATGGGAGGGAAACAAAGGTGATCAGTCATTTTGCATGCCACGGCAGATGTACTGATATAAGCTTGAATTATTTTCCGTGTCTTATGATTTTATGGCAGTATTCGTCAGTTCATTGTTTGCATTGATACACAACCATGGATTGGTTGTCTAAACAGTGTGACTTTTGTTGTGTGTCATTTTGCCCCATGATGTTGTTGAAAATGTCAGTCACTGGTTTTACTGGTCTTGATTCTTTACAGCAGGGTATATTGCTGACTGCAGTGTTGAACTACATACTGACAATAAATAAATAATTGTTATGGACATGTAATTATGCATCACTGTGTATCTTTGCTTAAATAGTAAGTGAGTGAGTTTGGTTTTATGTCACTTTTAGCAATATTCTAGCAACATCACGGCGGGGGACACCAGAAATGAGCTTCACACTTTGTACCCATGGGGGAATCGAACCCGGGTCTTCAGCATGAGGAGCAAATGCTTGAACCACTTGGCTACCCCACCACCCCTTTGCTTAAATAAGTCATATCACAAAAAGACTTGCCCCTGAAAGTCTTGATTGAAACTGATGAATGTTTCTTTTGAAAACAGAAAGAAGTCAATGAGCTCAATTTCATAGTGTTTCATTACAGTACAAGAGATTTATACATATTTGACCATTTGGGATGATTTAGAAAGTAAAGTCATGGTTTTCTTTTAACCTGTAATCTTAAGTTAAAAGAATACTTGACTGTCTACCATCCATCCCAAATATTGGTAACCTATTACTTAACATAAAGGTTTTCTAAACATTCATAATAGTGCATTCTAATTCATCAGTGAGTGAGTGATGGATAATGGTGAATTATTCAGACTACAGTAGTGGTGGTCAGATTAATTGAAATAATCGGAGAATGGTCGTAGTGACCAAGGAATCGATCATGTTTTCTCATAATCGAACACAAACAATTCTGGAACACTTTTTGCATTAACAATATTTTTCGCAAGGTTGGTTTTGATGTTTTTGTGCAAACAAAAAATAACCAGGAAAATTTCATAAATGACGCTAACCAATTATTTTCGATGATTGATCAGTTATAATGAACCAATCATCAATTATGAGATTTTAACCAATTCCCAACACTAGACTGCAGTCCTTGCTTACAATACAGGTGGTGATGATGCAGAGGATTATCAGCTATGTGGCCTACCTGGAGAACACCATCGTCCAACTGTGTTCTGAGCTGGGTATACCCTACTCCAGTTCAATGACATCATTGACGTTACAACTGCGCAATGAAATGGGTGAGTCAGTTAATTACATGAAATAATCACTTCTTGAAAATTATCTGAGATGACCAGACAGATTCGAGGTTCTCCAAATGATCATTGTACTAAGAGCAAAATATAATGGTAGTCAGGAGATTTACCAGCTTCTGTGGTATATAGCTGGAATATTGTCAGCACAGCCTTTGGATCTGCCACTGGTCTAGTTAGTGTGTGATTATTATTTTTCAGATGACATTGATTTTAGGGAATACATTTTTTATTCAGGGGTGGAAATAACTTTAAAATTGCTAGTGTACTCCGGTATAGTGGCACATGTAAAATCACTTGCCCTGATAATTTTTCCACTATACCAGCCGTTTTCTTGTTGATTTTTTAAATATACAACATAATTAACATTGGAAAGTCAACTGGACACCGGTACAGTGTGATATACAAATTTGCCTGCCCGACAGAAAAACACACTGGACTCGGACGTCAGGCAATGGGTTATTTCCACCCCTGTTATTGCTAACCCACTGTGATTCTGGGGTGTAACAATACACTAGAACAGATATATAAGAAAGATTGGATACAGCAAACATTCAGACTCAATGAAGTGTGTAAGGAGTGAATGATTATTTCCTGATTGGTTTTATTATACTTTCCACATTTTCATTTCTCATGTCTCATCTCAATCTATTAAGGCAAGCATATATATGTAGTAAGTATCAAGTAGTAAACTATGGATATCATTCACTGGTTTTACTTTAGTTTCATCACTGGGGAACAATTCTATAAGTCCAAGATATTTTTATGGATTAAACTTCCATAAAAATATCTTGGACATCAATGTACAACTTCTAAATGCCACTGAAAGACATCACAATTCTATAAGTGTTTGTGCTAAGGGATAGTGAACATCCAAATGCAACATGAGAATTGTTGGGTTTTTTTACCAGTGACACTGCAGTGTCTTTCGCCAACGAATGGACGGTAGATTGTTTATTACAATGTTTATCATTGGTACGAAGGTGATTATTAAGTTGTAATTATTTACTTTTATCAGAAAGCAGAACTGTTCAGATTGAAAAAGGGAACAAGAAGTCTTCAAGCAGGAATGAAAGAGACTCCATGGTATGTGTGACTTAATTTCAAATTATGAGATTTAATGGTGTCCTAAATCATTGAGATGTCAAGCATATTTGCATATTAGTCTAAAGCCAGAGTCCTGTACAATTTTGTTCTGACAGCTGATATACCTCCATGTAGCAAGACTAAAACATACCAAAGATTATGCTAAGTGTCATGTTTGGCCTAGCAGACTCAAAAGTTTTTGGCATTGAGTGAATTTGTGTGAATGCAGTCTGCACTCAAATCTGCTGGATCCACTAGCCCCAAATTCACTTTTAGCATCAAATTGAGTAGATTTCACTGTAATCAAATGGCATTTGTTTCCTGATTCTTTCCTACTCCCAACAGAATTTTACTTAACTCAGACTTAAGATTTGTGGCTGAAGTTGCAGAGTGTGAATGAAATCTTCAATTTGAGGAAAAATCAAAAGTCCAAATGTTAATTAAAAAAATATTACATTTTCTGCTGTCTTTTATCATGACCTTTAAATGTTATCTATCTTGGTACTTCACATCATCACTACATATATACTGAGTTATTTTAATTTGTAAATAGAAAAAGACGCCCATGAATGACAAGCAGAGTTTTGGTCGGCGGCTGAAGCTATCGTCTCCTACAGTAGACTCAACCAGCGACCACCAAGTACCACAACACATTCCCAAAGCAAGGGAGAGCAAAGACTGTTCCCAGGATTCCACAGTTCCAACCTCCTCCTTCCTGCCCTTCTTAAATGACAATGCCGTTGCACCCTGGTTTATCAACACCGAGCAGGACGGGGAAGTTGTCAATGCATGTGAGATTTACTCTGGATACACTATACCATATCAAGTGTAGCATAATATTTGATAAAGCAAAAACAATACATATATCCATATGTCCATATATAGAGGTGACAGTCAGCAACCATTAATTCATATAGAGAGGCAGAGTTGAGCCGTGTAATGCTGTATTGAATATATACTTTGGGATGTTTTTAATGTCATGGGCCAGTGTTATTGGTTACAAGTTGTATCAGGCTGAAAAATGTCTGAAACAAAATGTCAAAACAACTGAAATAAATTTTCTGATAAATGTATTATCTGAACAACCATAATATTCTGATTAAGAAGGGAAATATAGTAAATCAATCCGACTTGTTTTATAATCTGCCATCTGATTTGCTCAAGAACCAACACATCCTTCATTAAGTCTGGGTCACTTAGAATTTTCTCAGGATTCACATGACCTCATCATGGAGTGTTTGTTGGGAGAAGTATCCTATCAGATTGAAAGACCAAAAATGAGACAGCTTTTATCCCAAATAATTGTATTTTTATTGTCAACTTTATCAAAATATTTAATTTGATTTAAGACAGATAACATGTTCTGATAAATGTTCTTTAACAAATGAGAAGAAAGAATCTTATGTTTCTCACCTTTAAAACTTTCCTTGTAGGTGAATATGACCCCTTCTTTAGTCAAGAAGTTGAAGCAAATGACTGTCTGAGGTTTTCTTCATCTTTGATGGTAAGGCATTGTTTGTATGAGATTAGCATGAGTAATGAACTACTAAGTTGTTCTACAAAGAATGAGAATTGATGTAATACAGTATAATTATTATATTGTGATACTGATTGTGTAGTAAATATATGTCTCATCCAAAATAGCAGCCAACCGACTTAGTAAAACCTGCGATTGTGAGTTCAAATCCTGGCTCACCATGATTATATTTTGTCAGCACCAGACCAATGCTCATGGATTTCACTAAAGAGGTAAACGTCTCAGATCCGCATCACTGCATCAGTTTCTTTCCACAGTAAATAGACAGGGCACTGTATAATTGGAGTGAGTGATTTTACAGCAATATGGGCTTCACACATTGTGCCCATGAGGGGAATCGAACCCCCTTCAGCGTGACGAGTCGACGCTTTAGTATAATTGGAATACTGTTCTGAAAGATTTGATGTAAATTAACTAATTCACAGAAGATGATGGGCTTTCTCTGTATCGGGACTTGGAAGGTCTAGTCTTGGGCAACGCAATGTATCTTGCATGGTTGTGTCCCCTTAATGATCATGGGTTAGAATCACTGTTTGCCAAGATTATGGTTTTGTTTTATGGGTAGTCAGCAGTATACCTTCATTGGTTTTGCCAAAGTTGCAAATGTCAAAGACATGCATGATTTTAAGCTTTCCTCTTGTATCAAGCTGACACTCATATGATTTTCCTGAACTGTTTCAGGAGCCGAGATCGCCCCAGCTACCTGCACGCAACTCAAATCATGTCGTCCCTACCTCCTTAAGTCTCCTGTCCAGCCCTGACCAGAGGGAAGGCAACAAGGAGAATAAAACAACCTTCAATCTAGGGGGCAACATCATGGTGTGTATATATATGTGACAGTAGTTTGTGAACACTCCTTGCTCACAGCAGGAGCAGCGTGTCATAATGTGGTATTCAGTGGCTACCACGTTAAACTGTTTGTTGGTCATTGTTTGATTCACCATAAAGTAAAATATAGATATAAATAGACTATTCAGCTAACTGTGATATGAACAACATTGCTCATTTTGCTTTCATAGACAATGAGTAAAATCAATATTCCTGTTTCCACGTGCTTAGAAAGTAAGTACTGATACACTGGCAAAACCACCAGTATCAAAACTTTTTATGTTTGCTTTCAGCCAAACCAGTCATATTTGTCAATTTGGAAACACATATATGCCGAAATTGGTTTGGCTTTAAAAATTGTAGATCCTTTTCCTCAATTCAACTTAATCATTTTTCTTATCAGTCTGTAATTTACTCTTCGAATTTTGCTTAGATAGCATTTTATCTATTTTCAAGAACATTGGCCAAGTTGATTGGTATGGAAGTGAGCGAGACGCCAGCTTCGACCCTGACCTGCCACTTTCTCAAGCCGTCTCCCCAGACAACGTTTTACAGACCATCCAGATTCCCTCCTCTTCCTCGGCCTTCCTCTCTCCTATGCAGTCTTCTCTTGCGTCCAAGCTGGCCCCACTAACTCCAGGAAGTAGGAAGAACAAACGGAAACAGTACACACCCAAGCGATCTCCATTTAATAATTTAGATATAAACTCTGCTGATACAGGGAATCAGCAGTATTTTAACATTGAGGATGATGAACGTTTTCAAATGGAACCTATCAATTATGAAGTGGAAGCAACTGGAAATGGTACGAGCATTTTTATTAATAATAACCACAGCAATAACATATGCCTTACTTGTTTTTATTTCATGGATGTGCAGTATATTTGAACAAATATGAATGATATGTGATCATGTATGTGAAGAAAATATTTGTAATTTAAAAAATTTGCATATGCTAAGTTAAGCAGCATGTTGATGTTGAGCTTTCAATACAGAGGAGCCTGAAGATGTATCCCTCCAGAGTCTCGGCCTGACTCGCAGCCAGAAGACCCAGATAGCCCAGCTTCAATCTCAGAGATACAGGCCTGCTTCGTCCAACTCTTCAGAGGGGTAGGTGGACTTTGGTGCTATATTTGTGCTGTAATTCATGGCTGTCACATGTGGATACACAAGGAAGAAAAAATGAGTTTGTATGTTGTCTTAATTATATACTGAAAAGTAGTAATAATGAAACTATGTTGTACAGACCTAGTTTTAATTTGCATTTTCAAAGAACTAAACAGTGCTTATTATGAGCATAGTACATTTCTAAAAAAGATCAACAGTAAGAGACAACAGTTTTTCCAGTAAATTAATAAAACATGAATTATTGTGTTGTTATAGATATATAGTCAAAAAGAGAATGTGGTATACTTTCCTATCTGTTATTACAGGTATTACCTGAGCTTCTGAATGTTACTAGTACGCATAGGTAACATAATCTATTACGTGTGAATATGTGTCTTGGTTTTGAAATATTGGGCTGGGGGACTCATATTGTCCAAAACTTGAAGGCAGTGTTCAAAACTGAAAGGAATGCTATTGTTCTTGACATTTATTCCTTTGTTATTTGAATCTCAATATCTGACGTTTTAATTTGGGACTTGCGCACTGTTAAGTCCCACACTCTGGGGTATGACCTGTCTCCATGGGTCATTGCCCATGCCCTTGGCAATCTGACAGAACCATTGGATTAGAACCAGCACATATTAATGTTGAGTGTTTGCTTTTATCTTCTCTACAGTCCAGAGACCATATTATATCTATTATATGGTCTCTGTACAGTCTAATGGATTTTTTTTTGTCATTAGTCCTTTCAGAGACAATTTAGAATAGGACTTGAAAAGGTGTTGTTTTTCGTGCTTGTCTTTGATTTCTCTAAAATGTCTTGTTCTGCAGATCAAGAGATTTGACAAAATCAGGCAAAACTGACCTACGGAAAACTTCCTGGATGAATGGGTTCATGATGTTTAGCAGATTGAACAGGAGAACATTCATCAAGTATGAAAACTTTCTTCATGTCAAAAGTAAAGGCTGAAATGAGAATATTTGCAAATGATATTTTCTTCCATGATATATCTTTGAGCACAATACAAAACAATGATTAAATGTGTAATGTATTAAAATTATAATTTCATATTTACCTTTTATGAAGTTCTGTGTATCTCGACCTTTACTTGAGGCTTGAAAACTCTCACTTAGATTGCCTTTAAAAAGGTATTAACTGTAACGACCTGTAGTGATCTTTTCATGTTATCAAATCATGTTTCAGTATAAAGAAAGTGGTATTAAAACATAAGGGTTTCAATTTGCTTTAAGTGACTTCTGCTTGTCAGTGTTGATGAATGTAAGTTGTGACTGAACTGGTTTCTTGTACAGTGCCAACCCTGGAGTTCACACATCCCACATCAGCAAGATAATGGGACATGCTTGGAGGAACATGACGCCTGAGGAACAGGCTCCATACAAGTAAGATAATCTCCTACATCAGTGTTCACACTAGAACCTGTGTGGTAAGCAAAGAAGTACATACATATGTTGTAATCATTACCAGATTCTTAGCAAACTGGCAAATACTTTTCTAAAAGCCAGTCGGCACCTGAACATTTATTTCAGTCTTCTTTCATTATGTTTTTGGAAAAATATGGGGATATTTTTTTAGTATTGGGGTGTGTGTTTTTTTGGTGGGAGTTGCCACTTACATAAGCTCATGAGTATAGTAAACCTACCACAGCTCTTATTTGATCAGTTTGTTTATGTTATGTAAGCACCACCCTCAGCAATAGTCCAGTTATGTGATGGCATCTCGGCCACATGATCCAGTGATGGATATCATGAGCATACATTCGCACAATTTGGATTTGATGGCATGCATCAACCAAGTCAGCAGTTATATGATGGTTGTGTAGACCAAACAATCCCGTGATTGACATGAGCATCAATCTATGCCACTGGGGCATGATGATATGCATTGACCGGGTTGACCAACCCGTTAGTGGCCTCTTTTGACAAACAAGGGTTCCAGAAACCAGTTCTAACATGCATTTATTCAGGGTAGTTGTTAATGTTTGCATGTATTTAGAAAACAACCAGTCTGACGTATAGCCATGCCTTAATCTGTTGCTTATTTGTAGATCAACGGGGGGAAAAAGGTTATGGTAACATCAAATATGTTATGGTAATGTGTCAGTGATAACACATGAAGACGCATTCAGACATCCGGAAAACCTGCTTGCCTTTGGATACTTTTAAAAACAGATGAACTGACTCTTGAACTGAACTATTGGTTGGTGCCAATATCACACACAGCACTTGAACACAAAACGTTGATGACAGTGTATAAAATAAGCCAAAAATCCAGCCAGACATCAGGGCTGGTAACTTCAAAATGTTACTAGCCCAAAATGGATTTACAGACCATCGGCTTGGCTAGCTGTAAATTTAGACCGTCCATCAGAAATATAGACCATATCGGCGGTCGGGCGGGCCTTATTTCATACACTGTTGATGATGACAGGTAGTCAGTGTATGTTATGCTACTGTTTTAGGGAGAAGGCTAGACTATGTGCCCAGGAGCTACAGAAGCAGCAGATGCTGCCAGCTGATTTCACCACACCACCCAGCCTGGCTGCCACACCCACCAACTTCACCACCACTGCGACCATCTCCAGCACACAAGACAAGTGTGGCTTCTTTAACTCTGACAATTCCTCAGGGTCCTATGTCTCACTTCATTTGGATGATTGCTAGATCATTGAGGAGTAGTGTCATTCCAAACTTCTTAAAAACAGAAGACAAATGTCAGAAAAATTCTTGTAACACAAATGTGTGAATAACATGGATAAGCGACAAAAAAAAGGATGGAAAATGTGATTTCAACAGATATTTTTATGGTGGACAAGCATTCCCCAAATCGAAACAACTTTTATAATCTTAGACCTTATTATCAGTATTATTCTAATTCAGAGGTTTATTATATACGTTGACATTTATCTGCATGACCCTCAATTAACTCCAAATATTTGCCTGAAAATCCATCTGTAAAAAGATAAAATTAGTATACCTGGAGGGGAAAACGTATCATGAAATATGATATTCATCAAGATATCATCTTTAGGATGAATGTGAGTGTGTCAGAGTGATATGGACATCTTTCCATCCTTGTTTAAATCAGTTCCTGTTTATATACATAATCATGTATTTATTCACATAAAACATGTTCACTCAAACTTTCATATCCCAATAAATGACTGAGTTTAGTTTTACGTCGCTTTAAGCAATATTCTAGCAATATCACTGCGGGGGACACCAGAAATGGGCTTAACACATTGTGCCCATGTGGGGAATCGAACCTGGGTCTTCGGCGTGACGAGCCAACGCTTTAACCACTAGGCTACCCCACTGCCCCCCCAATAAATGAATACTAATAATGTATATTAATGGGTTGTAGAGGCTGAATGTAATGTTGCTGTCTCAGGAAGCATGTGTGATTAAGTAGAATAGTTCTTTAAATATGGTATCTTAACACTGATCATCAGCATCACTCATTCTGTTTCACTATGTTGTATAAACAACTGGTATTTAATTCTATAGTTTTTCTTCCACTTTTGTGTGCTCATCTTCAATAACTTTCAGAAATGATTCACATCAGCAGGTTATGTACACTAAACGCCAAAGGAAATGTTACTCTCCTTCCTTAATGACGGAGGTACCTATCTTCAGCTGGCGTTGTGATGTGTGCATGTCCACTCGTTGGTCTGTCTAGGGTGACCCCAGTCTGTCTGAAGCGTTGATTAACTCTTATAACCGTGATACGATGGCATCCAAGGGCGTTGGCAACAGCATTGTATGTCGACCCCATCTGCACCATTACAATGTCTCTTTCTCTCTCTTCAGGTGTTAATCGTGGATTATTTCTCGTACTTGTGTATCATATATGTATTCTAGGCTCTCTTTATACCCTATAGAATCATTCTGCATGTGAAATGGATGCAAATACTGCTTGAATATTGCTGCGTTTTGGCAATTGATATTGCACTGTGTAAACAGAAAATGGAAAAACGTTACTTTGCACGCAAAAATGTTACCAAAGATAAGTTTAGATGTTCCTGAAATTTTTTTCACAATATCAAAGACATGTTTTACTTGTTTTCACTGATGAAAATCAGCAGAAAATGTGTTAAAAGACTGAAATCATAGGAATTATTTTACAATTTTATACACTCTACAACAGTTGTTTCTTGTTTTAATAGTTGAAAAACGGTGACTTAAAATGGTCTATCTTTGTCTCAAACCAGAATTTTATTTCAACTTTTCTTTTGGACATTTCAATCACTGTTATTGGTTTAATTCGGCATGGACGAAAATAGGACAATTTAACTCTTCTGAAAAAGATGCATTTCACCTAAATATGAATGCATTTGAGAATGTTTTTTCATGATTTGCATAAAGCTGTGTTGTTAAGCTTTCTTGTAAACTACCGGGTAATACCTTCTAACATATCTCTGATAGTTTTTAAGTAATTCATAAATGTAGGAGGGTAAGATTTCTTTTGGCGTTTAGTATATGTAGTTCATTTTGTAGCACACTTGTACATAATTCATACAGTATACTTCATAACAATGCTACAAGTACTGATAAGTTAAATGTCAAGTGTTAAAATTAGATTATGTGCAACAGTAGTGATCCATCATTTGTGAATCATGCAGTGAACAGAGGAGGCAATTTGTCAATGTTCATTTGAGTCATGGTAATGACTCCGTATGTTCTATGAGATGAATTTTTGTTACAGTTCCTGTGAATAAAATGATTACAAAATATATGCATAGCTATGCATTATGATTTATAGCAGTAAAATATTGTGAAAGCATATCATGGCACAATGAAATGAAAGGGGTAACACCCTGTACTGATTTTACACATTCCATGTTGGCTCTTAGCACAAAAAGGTCTGGAGAAAACATGGATATAATATTCATTCTTAAAATATACTAATTGCACAGTCCCATGTCATCTTATGTTTTACATATTTACAACATATCTGATATTCATCATTAGGATTCAACTCATTGTGTGTCCCAGTTCAATATGAAGTTACAACTTTTAGACTTCAAAGGTGTTAAGGGGAAATGGTTGAAAATTCTCTAACAAACTCCTCCAATTTCAGAAAAAGATTGGAATTAAATCATTTTTAAGTATGTATTCTTATTGTTTTACAACTGTCAATAGTGATTTTTGTTACCTGAGCTTGTGTTATTTGATAGCTATTGCCATAGCTGAAGCACTAAGATCACTTATGTGGACCAAGGACCCTTGAAAGATCAGCACATCTATATGTTAAAACCATTTAGTAAAGGCCGCCAAAAGTCAGTCTGGTCTACTCAATGCCTTTACTACAGACAATTACTTTCAAAGGGTGTTATTTTTGTAAGGAAGCAAAACTTGTCTTGTTTAGCGGAAAATACAAAATAACATAAATCCCTCTTAGAAGTTAATGCATTCCAGGACAAATTTCAGTTGTTTGTACATGTCTAAAAATGTGAAACAAACAGGATCCAAAATTTAAAACACTGAAGCATTAAAACATGCTTAACTCATGTTAATGTTCTAATTACTGTAACTGTCCTGGAAGAAATTTGTCAAGCAACTGCTATAAAAACCTACACATTATCACATTTTCATATCACTTTCCAAGGCGATGATTATATGCATATAGCTGTTATGCAGCTATTTGGTACATATTCTATTTTCTTTGAGCTCACAAAGTTTACACTTACTGTGTATGATCTTATGCTTTCAAGTTTATTTGAGGCTTAAACTTAATGGACTTTATTATGTTGTAAACTAGCTAATTTCAGTTCTTTATTGCTTGTTAATCTGTTAAGACAAATGTAAAGTTTATTTCATTGTTGTTTTGCAGTATTTTCTTGTTTGTCAGCTGTAGCAAGTCTATGGTAATAAATATTTATTTGCAAATATGGTTGTTGTTTAAATTGATGACACAGCTATATGCTAACAGATGTAAATTATCAAGTCTACGTTAGAAAATCTAGTGATTGATACAGTGGACAACAATCCACACTTTTGAGATGAGGATGATAGGCTGTCAGCCTCTTATAACCAACATGGGTTGCCAGGGATCAGGTAAAGCCTGGATTCTCCATAAGAACAGAAGCTAATCAGTTAGTCTGTCATACAGACCCTGAAACAAATATATCCTAGAGAGCCCATACAGGTGTAGAATATGTGGCAAGTCTAGATCTGAAAAAGAAGAAAGTCTCTAGGCTCTATTTCATTATATTTTATGATCATAATTTAGGAACTGTTGTTTGTTTTTTTTTCTGTAAAATATGTTCATTTCAGAGACTATATGTTTGTCTGCCGATCTGTGTTTAATAGAGAAGACAACTCAGTCATCAGAATTACTCCAACTTAATCAGTGTCATGTAGCTGCTGTGGGAGGGTAGCCTCATTTACCTTGGGTAGCACAAGTCACTGTGCCAAGGTACTTCTATTTGCAGTATCTGTTTCATAGACGGTTTAATATACAGAGTTTGCAGACTCGGTCACCATGATAAAGCATTGCTTGAAGGTTTCACAAAGCTCTCTTCTCACCATGGACTTTCCTCACTCAGCCGACACAGCCTGAGATAACATAAACAATGTTACACAAGAGCCTGTAGGTCATTCATGGTTTCAACTACTAGTTTCTCTAAATCAATTGCCATTACTTACAGACCTACAGAATAAGGTATTACTTTTCTGATTAAAGTCTCTGACAGTATATATTTGTTGTTGATTTGAAGCTAAGAAGAGAGAAAATATATCCTTAGAAAATTGAAAACCATGGGGACAGTGATGGCATATCCGAACAGGAAGCTATGGTGATTGGGTCCTGGGTTGTTCATCCATATATTGTTACTGCTCCAACTTCTAAATGTCTCGGGGCGGGGTAGCCTAATGGTCAAAGCGTTGGCTCGTGACGCTGAAGACCCGAGTTCGATTCCCCACATGAGCACAATGTGTGAAGCCCATTTCTGGTGTATCCCGTCGATATTGCTGGAATATTGCTAAAAGCGGCGTAAAACCATACTCACTCACTCTAAATGTCTCACAAAGAAGTCATTTCATAATATACTAGAGATATGATACACAGGATAACAGGGGATGGTTTAACATGCATGCAGGACCAAAACTGGCTATCCAAGATTCCTTTTATTTCATATGATTGCAAACTTACAAATCAAAACTAATAATTCATAACAGTTGTACTTTTTAAAATTTTATAATTAACTTTTGAGTTCAGAAATCCCTGTTACAAACAGGAGCTCCTGCCCAGGGTAGCAGGAGCCCCATTGCACACACACACACAAAAGAATGAGTTTCATAACAGCTGTACTTACTGAAGTTCCCAACTTATTTGTAGTGATAACACATACTATGATCCAGATTTCTGGACATCTTAATCAAGCATGAATGGTCTGACCGTTTCCACAGTCTTCTTGACCTGTTACTGAGGTACAGTACTTTCTTCATCAAGAAGAAACACATATAGTCACTGAATGTTCATACCCCTAGCGCCATACTTGTTTTGAGATCTTGCTCTTTATTGGAGGGAGAACGACTTTTGAACCGAACTGTCTTCTACTATTGGACCCATTTTTACTCTGAGCTTCGGGAATCGACACTGGCCACGCATGCTCACGCACGGAAATGCCTGCTCCGTTGGAAATTTCCACAGCAGCACTCTTCTTAACCTCCCTGCAGACTCTAGATTTCCGTTTCAGAGGTTCCAGAGAAGGAACAGGGCAGATGGATATATTCGCCTTATTCAAGGAACGGTCATTATTCTCCTTCTCTTCGTGAATTACCACAGAAGGGCGGTTCACTTTCAGTCTCATGACCGCTTTCTCTTTCCGGAGAAGCGTCTTAAGTTCCTTGAGTTCTTCCTCTTTTTTCTTCTGGAACTCCTTCATTGTTTGTTTCTGTTCTTGCCATTTTTTCGCAAGACGATGACGACACTCACTCAGGTAACGTCTTCTGCTCATGTCTTCGCATGACATTGAAACTAACTGCTCATTTAGAGGCGATGGAGCATAGCCGGACTTGTCAAGTACGTTATGGTCACCTCTCTGTCCCATCTGTCCCCTGGACTTCCGTTTTCTGCTTGCTTCTTGAAGGTTGGATATTTCTTTATTCCGACAGTTTTCACTCCGTTGAAGAGCACCTGGTCTTCCCAACAATCTATTGAACGCAATGCGGAAACAATAGAAATATACATTATGAGGGCCTTGTTCCATGACCTGGTGGCAATTTCCATTAGTTAGTTAGTGTAACTGGGATATTCATTAACTGCTCGATTGATTATTATGATGTTTCAAATCTGAGTTAGCAGAAGTTAAGGACTAACAATGTACTGAAACAAATATGCTGGCATGGCATGATAAAGAGTATTTTACTTTTTTTGCGTGTTGTTAAAAAAAAAATATCTGCGTGCATTTGATACGTGGAGGATGCTTTAGGAGGAGATACTGAACGTACCTGTCCTGAAAGTTACTCATTTCAGATTTGAATTCCTCGTACCGACCTGTGAAGAAGATGGACTTAGCTATTAACACTCACCGCATACACAGCGCAATTGATACTGAAACATTCTTTAGAAAATTACTAGTAGACATTGCGACTGAAGCGAATGTAGCCGTATTGGAGCAATACATCATGACATCTGGCTAGGCGGTGGACACATCATAACCGATCCACGCCGGCGGTGTACGACGACGACGATATATATATAACTGTGATCAACCGCTCCTGAGGGTTTGCCATATACATGAGGTGCATTCTGCCCAGGAATCTCTGTATTAAACTAGCTTCTCACATTGAAAGTATATTTGTATCGAGCAAAACATTGTCCATTTCACACAGATCACTACAGAGCATATGCATAAGATGAAAACATGTAATAGCAACCTAATAGATCCAAACATAAGTGTACTGTATTTGAAAACTAGCTCAGTCAAGAAATATGTCTATATTTACAAGCTGGCAATAGAATTTGCCAGAAGATGTGTGGTTATATGTGTCATAAGTAGTGATAACCTATAGTGTTCGGTGAATTCATTTTGTAAGTTAACACAAAAATAGAAAGGAAAAACGCTGAAAAATACAACCTTTTCTCTCCTACAGATGAGTGAACTTAGCTGTTGGATACAGTTTTCTTTTTAAACAGAATGAACATACATGGTTTCTGGCGAGTAATCGGTGGAAGTCGTGGCAATGTCGGGCCTCTAATCTCCAGATTCGGATGAAGAGATTTGCGACTCGGTTTCTCTGACTTCCTGGACATGGTAGAGCTATACGGAAAACAACCGATGTAAAGGATCTCATGTAAAACAAATGTCGTGAATAGAGAAATTAGATATTTTCAATTTATAAAAACCCGTATCAATTTAAAGTAATAAAATGCATAAAGAGTTGCAATACCTACCTGCAGAAACACGTATTCCACTCAAAAAACCCGAATACACGTGAAAGGCGAGCAGGCAATAGACAACTGTTCTCATCAGAGATTCACAATGGACTGAGTAACTACAGCCTGTCGTCGTCGTGATGTTTCTGTGACGTTATAAGCATTGTTCTTGAACATGACGTTATACCATTGTTTCCGTAGGTTTCAGTGTTGAAGAATGTGTGGAGTTTCAGAGGTGCTTCTTTTTCAAAGATTTTCAAATACATTTAGAATTTTGCATTTTGTGAGTATAGGTACGTATATGCCTCTCTATTAGATATATTAGCTGGATGCGGTGTCTGATTCCAACTGTTTCGAGAGTATGTGTTTATGGATCACTTTCAAATAGTGACGATAGCAGGTGTTAAAAAGACTACAAAAATTCAAGTCAAAATATTGCCAAGGACATCTGATTTCTTTCACTGATACGTCGAATATGAAACTGTCTTCCACATGTTTACCCTAAAACACATTGAAGGTGTTAAAGGGCCACTGATCCAGAGCGATTATTGTTTCCAGCCAACAGTCTAATTACGAAACCTAGCTGCAAAATGGTCAGCCCTTGCTCCCTCGACCGTGACGGACACAGGGACTGGGCTACTGTCCACCCTGGCAGAATTTCTTCAACCTAATCAGTGGGACATTAGGAAGGGTGGATGCCCATCAGATTATTTGACAATATCCTCGGTAGTTCTTGTCTGATTGATAAATGCTATTTAGGTTTGTTTTTTACCGAGTTACAAAATCAAAACTACTTCCTACTTAGGTAAAATATGTATTTGATTGATGGCCGATAGGATTTTGCATGACATAGCTTATAACATAACAATTTATCTCGTGGAAGCGAGGTGGGTGTCAATATAATACTACTTACAGTATTATTGTTACTTCGACCACAACCTTGCTTCCGATGAAGAAATCGTTATGTTACAGTACAACCAGAAATTATTGAGAATTTAAAGATTGTAATTTTTTATATTTTTTTCGCTCATTTCTCACGTATTAAATGTGAATATTAGCAGAACATAACTCCAGATTCAAAGACAGGTGAACACTTAGTATTTTGTCAAGTCACCATGGGCAGCAATGCAGGCTTCAATGCGGCGGGGCATACTACTGATCAAAGAAGTTAGAAAGTCCTGGTCCATGCTGTCCCAATATCGGACCACCTCTTCTTTCATTTCAACAATATTTGTCAGATTTTTCTTATTGACACTTTCCTTCATAAGTCCCCAAATATTTTCTATTGGATTTAGGTCAGGGCTACAGCTTGACCAATCTAATAATGTCATATTTTGGGTCCAAAACCAGGCCTGTGAATGCTTTGAACGATGTTTTGGGTCGTTGTCCTGCTGGAAAATCCAAATATTTCCATAGAACACGTGAGCAGATGGAAGTATATGTCCCTCGAGAATATCTGTGTACCGCTCACTGTTCATATTCCCTTCAAATACACAGAGGGCGTTGCCCCTAACACAGATATGCCACCCCACACGTTACATTTCGGACTGTACTTTGGGCGCTGATACAAAGGTTTTTCAGTTTGTTTGGTCCAGAATTTCAGTGTATTAGGAAACAGCCACACAGAACTTTCATCTGAGAAAATCACATTGTCCCAGTTAAAAATTTCTATGCTGTAAGCACCAGTTCAACCTTCGCTCCTTTTGTTCAGGTTTCATGATCGGTGATGGAATTCCTCGACTTTTCTGCCAACCCATTGCATGCAGCTCAGTTCTAATTGTCTCCTTACAGACAGCCACAGTTTCTCTATCAATCATATCCAGCCTTAAGTTTTCCAAACTCCTTCGTTTGTTTTTAGAAACAAGAATACCAACCGCCTCCTGTCACCGACAGTCAATTTTATGGGCCTACCTGTGCCTCCCTGGTGCTCAATGCTATATCCATTTGCAATATTTTTAAAAAAACGATAAACAGTGGACAAAGGGATGCCTGTTCTACTTGAAATCACTTTAGCTGATCTGATGTCCTTGTTATAATACTCTAAAATCAACTTCCTCTTCTCTAAATCATCCATACTGAGGATCACTGAAAATGTCGTCTGCTAGCAAGTAAACAAAGGGGGATAACACTTCACAAACTAAAAAGGATTAACGGGGTTGTCTCTCTTGAATGAAACCAATCACTTGATAGCTTGTCAAGGTTGTTTATACTAGAAATCCAATTAAACATATTCCTAAAATTCTCAATAATTTCTGGTCATACTATACAAGTTGTGTCATGGAAAATCTTTATGGTCATCAAACATATACATATTTTACTACAACTAGTAAGTAGTTTTGATTCTTTAACTTCCATGAAGCGATCTGAACACAAGTAAAATATCGTTTCAGGCTTCCACAATGCTCGCTTCGCACTCACAAACATAACCCATTTAGCACGAACTGCGGGGTCCTGTGGAAATCTGCATGGTGACTCCATCGCCCGACCCCTAGGAGACGACAACGCAACGATTCGGCACGTCTTCGTTCATGTCCAGAAATCATCAAAATGACGAGCTTGCTACACACTTTATATACAACTAACTGAAAATCCTTCCTCATATGACGTCACTGCAGTGCTCTGTTATGTAACCTGTCTGTGGTTTCGTTGGCGGGCGAGAGTGAACCAGGCGACTTTTTGGCAACTTTTAATCGCTCGGTATTAATTAACCACAAGTTTTTTAAGAATTAATTTGGTGTTCCGCATAAGACTAACCACAAAACTTTCATATGTAATTTTTAAAAAAGTACAAAGAAAAACAAAGTTTTTATTTTTCTTTAATGGTTTTTCACCAGAGGCACCAAAATTCATACTCGGAGATTTCAATGCATGTGACTTAAAACATGTTCTGCCATCATACCATCAGTATGTAAATAGTCCGACAAGATCTAGAAATACTATTGACTTGTGCTATGGTAGTGTGAAGGATGCCTACAAATCTTTTGCAATGGCTCCGATGGGGACTTCTGATCACAATACTGTTTATTTAGTTTCTTTGTATTGTCAAAAATTAAAGTCAGAGAAGCCAGTCTTAAAATATGTAAAGTCATGGACAAAAGATTGTTTAGAGCAGTTGGGAGGATGTTTTGATTGTACAAATGAGTTAAATTCCTTCTACTCCCGATTTGATACTAGGAATTTTTCAGGTGAAAGGAAACTTGTATTGGAATCGCTTCCACCTTGTGGAATGTTAAATATATCGACAGATGATGTGATTAGTTCATTCGCTAAGATATATAAATCCACATAAATGTTGTGGGCCTGATAACTTGCTTGGGATTGTTCTTAAGGAATGTAGAGTGCAACTGGCTGTTATTTTTCAAAAGCTATTTCAGATATCAATTAATTCTCATAGTGTTCCCATTCTTTGGAAAACCTCTAAACCTATTCCATTGCCAAAAAAGAAAAATCCCACTGTTAATAATGACTTCAGACCAGTGGCCCTAACCTCTATTGCCATGAAATGTTTGGAACGTATTGTTAAGATCTTATTGTTGAATGAAGTCAGCCATGTTCTTGACCCATTACAATTCGCATACAGAACAAGGCGTGGGTTAGATGATGCAACAATCACTCTGCTACACAATTTAGCATTTAGAAAGCTATGGTACTTATGTGAGAATAATGTTTGTTGATTTTTCATCTGCCTTTAATACTATTCAACCTCATTTGTTAATTGATAAACTTTTCAAAATGAATGAAACATCACCAAATGGATTATTTCATTTCTTTTTTTATATACTACCCATCAAAAGTTTAGACTCACTAGTGTAAATGTAGCCACTTACTTGTCCACTGTTCTAAACTCGCCTTTTGCAAAATATTCCATACTGTTTAAAGGTACTGTTTAGTTATGAACTGGTGTATTGTAAAACATATTCGTAACATTGAAAAGATTATTGTCATGAGTTCAGTAAATGATTAAAATCTGTGAAAATTGGCGAATTCTTAACAAAACTTTACACCAAAACGCATCTGTTCACATGCACGACATTTGCTCATGCCTTTCGCAATTTGAAGCATCATCCTTGTGCAATTCATCTGCATAAGGTTTTCAGTTGGTTCCCCCAAGTTGGTGGAGAAATTCATCTTCGATGTAACCACATACATATACATAACATATAGTGAGTGCTTTAAGTGAGTCTAAACTTTTGATGGGTAGTATAGCTTCGAAACTCTCCTGGAACGAAAACACTGAGAAAATATATAAAAAAGGACAACAACGCTTGCATTTTTTTGTGGATGTTGAAACATTTTAAAATCGACCAAACTATCATGATGTTATTTTACAAAACCTTTATTCAGAGTGTCATAACCTTTAATTTCTTGAGTTGGTTCGGGAACCTGTCTGTTCAGTATAAAAACAAACTCTCAAAAATCGTAAACACTGCGTCTAAAATTATTGGGCTTCATATCGAAAGTAGCGGCAGTTGTTATGAGCAACACATTTCATAAAAGGCAAACAAAATTGTAAGTGATCCTACTCACATACTCTTTTCTGAATAGTCATCATTACCTTCTGGATGCAGGCTGCGTATGCCGACTTTTAGAACAGACAGGGTTCGCCACTCATTTGTTCCAGCTAGTATTAGATGCATTCAGAACAAATTCAGTGAATGACTTGTCTTTTAATTGTCCAAATTTTATTAAATATTTATGTTTGTGTACTAATATCCTGAATATTTTAAAAAATAGTTTCACGATTAGGGGAGCATGTACGTGAAAGCTTGAACTCATCCTTTCCAAATTAAGTTTCTTAATCACGTTGTATATATCGATAGTTTATAGACTATATGCACATATGGGGTAGCTATGTATTGTATTTCTTGATATCATCCTAGGTTACATTCTGTCAAAATAGCATTTTGGTTGTGGATGGAACAAGGGAGGCAACCGCTGCAGCGGCTGGTAATATTTTTGAAGGAATCGGCGGGAGAGTTGGGAGTGTCAGAAGACATCTGACATGTCAAGAGTGTCTAGAAGTTGACGTCTCACGCATTTATTGCAATACCCCCGTGTGCAATCTGTTCCAGGTACGTTGTATGTATATTTTGTATCTATACCACTTAAGATGTATTTTGTAGCTAGGTGGCATGTCGGTACTCGATTTTACAGCATTCATCGACCTTGGAAGGATTCACCGGTTTCATAAATTTTGTGTCAGAAGATAGTTTAGGTCTTGTCAAGGGAGGCTAGCTGGAGCCTAAGTTAAACAGTATTCCAACGAGGTGAGACTTCCGCCCGTATCCCCCCTAAATTATAACGATGAGGAATTATATTCAGGTGATATGATTTGACAAGAATGAGATTTAAGGGGGGATACGGGCGAAAGTCTTTTCTACAAGGATAATGTACACATTCTTTCCAAATATTTCAAAAAAATGTCAAGCCAACGTATCATCTACAGATTATTGCCCAATGTTGGAGCAGATGACGTTCGCAATCGAGAACAGTAACCAAAAATTGCGTCGTTTAGTTCCAGATCGATTGCATTAAATCAGAGATTCTGATTGCGAAATGTCTGGCAAAACTTGGAAATTACTGACTGCAGAATTGTATTGTAAAATGAATCAAAGTAACAAAATTGGATTTGCTTTCAGACCCTCAAGCCTTTCACCAAACATTGGCTTTCAAGTAAAACTTGGCTACCCATGATTTCAATTAATAGCAACTGGAAATTGTTGCCACTTCTTACAAGTACCTTGATTAACCCTCCTCTTATTTCACTTCAGATAACTCCAGTAAAATGTCTAACTCGGGGACAGATTCAAGTATTTTTGATGAATATGCTGGCAGCAGTACAGCTGAATCAAGAACACAACCTGAAAACAATTCCAGTGCCTCAGATCCCAATGCCTATAATAGAGATCACTTCTGGACGGTTTTTGACACTAACAACACTGATGACAATGATGGTGATGATGAGGATGAAGATATGGAACAGGAAAAGAGTTCTCCAACACCATGTTCATTTATGGAGGCATTACTTGCACACAGAATTGAATACGATAAACCCTATTATGAGGTTTTATCGGATGAATTAACTTTTGGCTTTGAAGATTCTTCATCAGATTTGGATGTTCCACTGTATCATACGGATGACTCAGCAGATGATCTAGATAATTGGAGTGACTCAGCATACGAGGAAGACATTGAAAAAGACAAAAGATCTAAATGCATATGGTCAGACTCTGAATATAGTGAAGACCACCTGACTGGCTCAAGTTCTGATCTGGATAATTCTGTTCTTGTAAACAATGATGATCAGTGGGATGATGAGGACGAGCTGTATGATTCATCTGATGGCTCCCCTTTATCTGATGCCAGCTACCACTCAGAATGTGGCTTAGACTTCAGTAGAAAAAATATTGACTTCAGAGCAATAACTGAAGTTGATTTAACTGATACAGATGATATTGATACTGTTGTTACTGAACAGTGTTTGATATCCATCACCAAACCATACCCTCCCAATGCTTCAGCTCAGTCTCCTGCTGCTGGAGATATAAAACATACTGTGGCAAAGAACAAACACATTAGTGTGCGATCATGGAATCTTCTGGATAGACTGATAGTTACACGAGATGGCCATGGCATATTGAAATGGTTTGAGTTAAGGGATGTACCACAGAAAATGAAGGAGAGGGCTTATCCTCTTTTGCCTGTGAATCGTGCTGCTTGCATTGGTAGTGTGGTAATTTTTGACTTTCTTATTGGGGAAGGATTTGTCATTGATAAGAAATACAACCCAGTCCATGAGTGTGCCCTACGTGGGCAGTTCACCTTTCTAACTCACATGTGGAAAATTGGAATTGATATCAATCAGAGTAACAAGAAGGGGTCAACCACGCTTCATGAAATAGCCAGACAGTCTACTGATCGTGCAGATATGCTCAAGTTCCTAATTTCCAGAGGTGCAAATGTGAATGAGGAGGACCTCATTGGTCGCAGTGCATTGTACATGGCAGTCAAACATGGCTCCTCTGCCAATGTTCTCACTCTTCTTCAGGCAGGAGCTGCCTTGAATCGCTCTTTCAGATATGAGAATGCCAACTATGTATCCGATATAAAATCAACTCTTGGGATGGCTATTTGCCGTAGCTTGAAGATGACAGTTTTGATTTACACGGCAAAGATTCAGGCTGGTGATTACAAGCACTGCAAAGAATTAGTAACAGCTGTAAAAGGAAACAGTGTCAACATTGTTCGATTCCTGCTGAGAAAGAATGCTCAGTGCTGCTCCAAACAGCGTAAGTCACTCCTTAAATACGCAGCCAAGAACCACAACAGGTCTGTGCGAGCATCTATGGTAGACATGTTGATCAGGGCTGGTTACAATGTTGGCAATGTAGAGAGGTGCATCAGGGCTCATGCCTTCCATGGTAAAGAGGGAAAGGCTTTGAAGAAAAAGTTGCCATTGTACACTTCACAAACAAGGACCCTACAGGACCTATCTTGCTTCAAGATCAGACAGATTCTTGGAGCATCAATGCCAGTAACAGTTCACAAACTACCTCTACCAGAATGCTTGAAGCGTGTTTTACAGCTGAAGTATTTGTGAAGAATTCTTGGAATCAAATGGTCAACAAGTCTAAAGTCTTTAGTCTTAATCAAATGATTATTTATGATAATTAAGATGAATGACTGGTTGAATTTTATTGACTCATATTTGAATCATGTACACAAGTCTTTTGCTCAAGTTATGATTACCAAATTGTTTTGGGTTATATTAAAGTTGTTACTGTTATCACTTTATTGGCAGTTATTAATGCTACAATTTAAGAACCATGTTCAAATTATTATTGACTTTAACAAGGTTACACTCTCTGAGTTTACCTTTAAATTATAATGCTGTAATTCCATGTGTGTATGCTGTATAGCAGTGTATGAAATAAGGCACGTCCGACCGCCCAAGACAGGCTAGATTTCTGACTGACGGTCTACAATCATTGTGCTTGTATGTTTATATCATGTGCCCAACAAACAAACAAGCATCCAAACTGAATATTATCCTACATGTGCTAATTGCAAATCATAACATGAAAGTCAAGTTGTCTTCTGGAATATGTGCTAAAGGATGCATTATTTGATTTCAAAACAGATATTTTGTAAGTGTAGTCCAGGATTGTTAGATGGCATACAGTTACAAACAGAACAAGCTTTTCATATCTTTCGGCATCCTTTACTACCGGTAATTTTTGAGTTGGCCAAATGTCAACAGATTTATTTAGTCCAACACTTTTGTTTGCTTAAATCATGTTAATAGTAACCTCTACTTCAGGGATAATCTTTAACTGTCTTGAAATTATCAATATTTGGAACGTGTAGTTAGAAGTGGGCTCAGCTTTTGTTACAAGTTTTTTTCCATAGCATTATTTTGTTATATTACTTTGATTTCACCTTTGCACATCAACTGTTATGAAAGCTAAAACTTGTTATGTCCATTACACAGCTTTTGTTTTCGACATGCAATGAACTTTGGTGTATGGGGAGTTGGTAGTAGGGCTCCATATGTTCTTTTTGTGGTACTTTAAATTTCAAATACTAATTTATTCGCATCGTAATCATCATTTTCTTAGAGCTAAAGGATGAGGACAATGATGACACCTGTGTTTGTTTCAGGGTTTGAATGCTGTCAACATGGCTTTCATATTGAAAAACAAAAGGCTAATTGGTCATTGCATCTTCATTTATGTTTGTAATGAAGTTGTATTTGTTGAGTTAGTGGTGAAATTCAAGACATATATTCTGGGGGTTTTCTCTCCCTATTATGACATATTTCACCATGCACTTACTTTTTCTCAAAATGCATATTTGGCTCAGTAAACTTCTTTGAATTTTCCAGAGAGGAATCTGAAGTCAGACTCAGCTTTCTCTCATGCCGACAGATATTTCTCTTCAGATCATTAGATTTTAATGTTAGATTTTAATGTGAATGCTGGTAGCAAATTTTGTTAGGTTGCCGTCTTTGTTGACATTTTATTGTTTGGACATGTGTTGCAGATTCTGTGAAATAAGACCTAAAGTTATATTTATATCTATTTTAATTGTTAATGAGTGATTGTGCTTTTACTTTGTTTTTTAGGTTGCTTATTGTTACACAGTTGACAAGAGTAAAGATAATCATGTTTTTATTGTGTCCCTTGAGTTTCTTGCTGTTAGTAAAATATGGCAAAGTATGTGAACTAGACTACAAGGAGTCAGATTACCATTTTGTGGAAAAATTAGGTGCCTTACCGATGGAACTAAAAAAGTACTGGAATTCAGACTTTGCTGAAAGTGTAATTCCAAGTAGCTGCAACAGTTCAGTTCTGTAAAAGCAACGTCGGAGGAAAGACCCAAATGACTAGTAAACTTGAGGTTATATTAAAAAAAACAATGGTGTTGAAACCTTACAGCTTTAAATAGACTCACTATATATCATACTGATTAATTAACAGAGCTAGCTGCATGTGTGCTCATACTTATGAAGTGGAAACACTTTTGAGTGAGCTAAACTGAGAAGCATAAGGCAACCAGATTAACCAGATATGACCAACTTATTTTAGGGCTGCAATGGCCAAATACACTTGATTTCTCACCATGAACAACTATGAATGGTGACATGCCAGCTTAATGAAAGATTACTGTGCTGAAAAAACATTCCTTCAGGTTTATCATTCACATTGACCAAATCTGGCCCATAGTGACCAACATCTATTTTCAAATTTTTAACAGACACTTGCTAATCAGAAATACATTGAGGAGGAGCAAGAAAGGTTTCTACTGTGGAGGGCTGGTTAACAGACCAAGATTTGACTTTCTAAAACAGTGACATCTGACCTGGAAAAGAAAGATTAAGAATATTGAAGTGTACGGCAAACATATTAAATAACGATTAAAACTCTCAATATTTCAGTTCTATATATTTTGATAAGCTAGAGAATTCCATTCTGGATTCCCTTCAGTAAGGAAATAAGCTGACTTTCACCACCAGGTGTCTCATGTGGTCATTCTCTGTAAAGTGTTTAGTCGTCTATAAGGTGGTGGTGTGTGGTCCTGTGCATAAGGCTCAGGTCACAAATCGGTCAAAGTATGCAACGTTGAGCTCGGAGAGTCCTTGGATGGGTGATCGTGTTTGGCAGTTTAATTCCTGAGAGTTTCTAGGACTTCAGTCCTGCCCCCCATCGAGGCATATATGATACATGTGGTCTCACCTTAAGTAGGTGAGTTTGTTCAAAATTGCCCCTGTTCACCCATACCCGGTGGGATAAGTCATGTGACTATTAACATTCAAGCACCTCACAGGCAGCTTGGGTTATCTTGGGTAATAATAATCAGATTGTGATTTCAGCACTGTTGAGCACCGTTTGGTGTAATCTATGCGCTATACAAATCCATTATTATTATTATTGTGTTCATGTGTTATAAGTAGATTAGAACATCACTATGCTGGTGACTCTGATTCAGATGGGTCTGCTATACATGTATACAAGTGCTACTAATTCAGGTTCAAATAAACTTGTCACCTTTACTGAAGAAACACACAATTTCCTTGTTTTTTAAATATTTATTAAAAATAATAACACATCACATCACTTTTTGCACAAAAACGAGCAAAACAACCCCACATATAAAATTTGGATATTCAAAATAACAGTAAAGGACTTAATAGGTGGGTACTTGAGATATTACATGGTAAAACAATTGTCACTGGCACAAACACTTCACATGGTTGCTGTTAAAAACGCAGCAATAAACAAACAATTCACATCACAATATTTTCAATTGTGTAGATATATTTCTCTGGTACAAAATATAGAAGAATAAATGGTAAATATTATCATACTATATATCTTCGAGTTGTGTGTGGTGTTTGGCAGTTGTTAGTGTTTAATTTGAATTAATAAATCATTTGCCCATTGCAATTTTGTCATGTGACCTTAACCTTCACAAGAATACATTAATAAACATATAACCAAGTTTTACATCTTGACAAAGTAAATTGTCATCTTTCAAAAATGATAAGAAACTGCTACTTATGACAAAAATATGCAAACCTTTTCTATAACTAAAACAGTTGTGACACTGATATTTTAGACAATTATGTCACAGCAATAAATTTTAACTGAAAAAATAGATTGCTGATATAACAAAAATTCCTACTTTCAGCTAGAACCTAAAAAAAAATCATGCAAGCATGACTTCATTATGTTTTGTATAAGATCGTCATCTTTGAAAATAAGTTTGAGTATATCGCTTACTGACAATGCAGTCTCTTGGCAAAATGACTGCCACTGCACCTATATCTGAATACTTAGCACTTGATTAATCCTATGAAATACATGCAAAAAAATGTATGAAGTAAGCGTATAACTATTTATGCGAAATTTTGCTTACTAATTATATGTTAAAAATACTAGTCAAGGCATTGTCTATCATTAATTCATAAAATATATCTCTGATTAGAAGTAAAAGGCACACTATCTTCATAGGGCACAAGGAATTTGGTAAACTTGGAATGGGCAAGTTATGGTCACAGTGATGAGAATTAATGATTACTGAAGAACACTTCGAGCCAATTCATACTAAACGTTTGCTTCCCCCTCTGGCAGCTACTTATGGTGAAGGGGTCATCGGCACAGGTACTACAGAAACGTACCCCAGGTATATTTCTGTATACAGAAAAGTACCCTCGCCAATATCAGAATACAGAAACATACCTCAAAATGATTCCATTCTGCATTGTGTCGTTTTCTTGATCAGAACCAAGTATATACGGTTTGGGTTTTTGGATGTGGAATATGGACTGGTATCTTGGTACCAGGTACTTTTCTGTATTTTGACTTTGTTTAGGGTACATTTCGCTGTGGAATGAACTGCCCCTTGCTTTAAAACTGTCCCCATCTTTTGCTGCATTCAAATCACATCTTAAAACGCATCTTTGTTAACTGCACTATTAACTCTACTCAAACATTATTATTATTTTGTAGAGCTTTGAGCACCCACTTAGTGGTTGGATTTACCGCTATATAAATTCTCATTATTATTATTATTACACATCTGTAGTACCTGTGCCGACAACAACCCTTTCAGAGCTATTTATTCCATATTTATAAATCAGGTGATAACTGATCCAAATTTTTGTTCTCTTACATTCATCAAGTGTCAACAGACACATGAAACAATCTTCTTCTGCATGAATTCAATAGAAATGTAGATCACAATGAAATATTGTGTATGAGACTACAGATGGCCATACAAGTTTCAGTATTTTACAATTGCACCATTATGATCATTTATATCACTGTTTTCAATGTAAATTTGCTATGGAAATACAACAGGATCCCATCATGCATCAGTCAACATGGTAGAAGTCACTGATTCTCTTGGCAAGGACAAGACTCCTCATCTGTGGGGAGACAAGATGGCGGTGCAGCATGCGCACTGTGGCCCCTTGGCTCTCACCCCACACATACAATACATTCTTCATCGGCTGAGGTAGTTTCATTGTCTTCCACTGTGCAATCAGTTGAGCTGGTATCCCAACACGTTCTGCTATCAAACGCCAGTCAGCTCCTGAGAAATACATTACATTTTTGTAATGCTGTAAGTTTCTTATGGTGTCACTAAATATTTCAATTCATAACATGCTCAATTTCAGAAACATTTTTATACAAAAACCAAAACAACATGTTCGTGGTTAAAGAGAAACCTAAACCTGTTCCCTGTTATAAAATGTTCAGGAAACCTGAAGATGAACAGAGATGGGTCCCCTTCCTAAAACTATGAGGAAAGCTAATATTACTGCAGCTTCTAAATGTTTACCACTTTGGTCAAACTCACGAACAAAGGTACTGTGCTGTCAAACCAAGTATCATAATCCACTAACAAGAAGGTTTTCAGGCAGCTGATTGTGGTAACAATAAACACTATTCAACTATACAATTTTGCCATATTACTCTTTGTATTATTGAATACCTGTATTAAAATTCATATTTGAAACATCAGAACATTGTTTCCAGTCATGCAATAACAAGTGTTACAAAAATGACTGGTGTTTGTCCCTAAGGTCATTGATGTAATGTTTCAGTTTGTTGAATGTGTTGCATATTTTATACAAAATAGATAATAGACTTTGAAATAAAGTAATTTACTTTGCATTCAGGGGTGAAAATAACTTTAAAATTGCTACTGTGCATGCAAGAATGAAGTAGGGGAGGTAATATATTAATGGGGTAAAATTGGTTATCTCCCTTAGACCATTTCTTCCACACACCCATCAACATATTTTTAGAAATCTCCAAACAAGATCTCATGAAGGAATTTAAAAAAAGGGACTTCTCTCATTGTTGCCATGGCAAACTCTCATCCATACCTCATACAAATGTAAAATAGATCTAACTGTCAATGAATTGTAGTTCTTAAGGGCCCATATTCGCTGCAATAAACACCCCTACTAGTCTCTGCTGTTACAGTAGCTGGACTCACAATCTTTTCAGCTAGTCCTATTTATCATCTCTACTTGTCTTACAGTTATGGCTACAAGTTATGTATTCTAGTCCAAACTCTTACTGCCACTACTTCCAACAGTAACTTTTACAAGTCACCTTTACTACTTAAGAACTGGTGTTCAAACTCACTGTCTTGCCTGATTGATATTATTGTATGTCAATAGAATAAATAGATGCTCATGATGTCACTACTGGATTGTCTGGTCTAGACTTGATTACATGTATTTACACACTGCTGTCATAGAGCTGGAATATTGCTAAGTGTGGTGCTAGACAACAAACAAAACTAGTCTGACAGCCACCTCTACTAGTCCCGTTAAGTCACCACTACTAGCCCCCTACTCACCATTGCCTTTATACAGACTGAGGTCCTGTATGACGAGCTGCAGCTAGACAACAAACAAACCTAGTCCCAACAGCCACCTCTACTAGTCCCGTTAAGTCACCACTACTAGCCTCCTACTCACCATTGCCTTTATTAGTCCCAACAGCCACCTCTACCAGTCCCGTTAAGTCACCACTACTAGCCCCCTACTCACCATTGCCTTTATACAGACTGAGGTCCTGTATGACGAGCTGCAGCTAGACAACAAACAAACCTAGTCCCAACAGCCACCTCTACCAGTCCCGTTAAGTCACCACTACTAGCCTCCTACTCACCATTGCCTTTATACAGACTGAGGTCCTGTATGACGAGCTGCATGACAACAAACAAACCTAGTCCCAACAGCTACAGTCCCTAGTCACCACTACAACTCACCAAGTACAGACTGAGGTCCTGTGACGACTGAGCTGCAGCTGAGACAACGAAACAAACAAACCCTAGTCCCAGCAGCCACCTCTGCTAGTCCCATTAAGTCACCACTACACACACACACACACACACACACACCCTACTCACCATTGCCTTTATACAGACTGAGGTCCTGTATGACGAGCTGCAGCTAGACAACAAACAAACCTAGTCCCAACAGCCACCTCTACCAGTCCCGTTAAGTCACCACTACTAGACCCTACTCACCATTGCCTTTATACAGACTGAGGTCCTGTATGACGAGCTGCAGCTAGACAACAAACAAACCTAGTCCCAACAGCCACCTCTACCAGTCCCGTTAAGTCACCACTACTAGCCCCCTACTCACCATTGCCTTTATACAGACTGAGGTCCTGTATGACGAGCTGCAGCAGCCCCTTGTGCATATTGTTGATGTGAGTATTGGCAGGCAGCTTACTGGAAGGCTTCAACAAGAAAACCCATTCATTTCACAAGTCTATCCTTGGCAAAGAAATTTGAACCAATAAAAGTACATTTCATTTATCCAAACTGAATTTGAAAAGACGAATATATGTACCCAGTACCAAAATCAAAATGCAATTATATTGTGTGACGTCCTGACAGGGCAACCACTGGATACAACTCAGCATTTTTAGTTTCATGTTACTTGCCTACAGAAAGCAGCAAAGTAGTTAAATGTTGATTTCCAGAATTGTTAATTGAGAAAATTTCAATAAAAAACATGAGCCAAGTGAATTGAGTCCATTTATATTCAGCATTTAAATCCACACAAAACAGCGGTCACTTACTCCTCGTACAGAATATATGGACTTAGCAGAATCAAGGGAGGTAACTCACAGTAGGTATGTTCACCCTCTCCAGGTTGATCCTGACTGCATGAGGGAGGTTACTCTGAGCAGATGTTGGGTGGCTGATTGGTGTGAGAGTTGGCAAGGGAACAGTTGTGGCAATCACTGGTTCGACTGCTGGCTTGTCCTCAACTTTTATCTTTGGTTCAACGAACACCTGTGTGCCACCTGCAGTATGAACAATCCAATGCTGATCATTTTACAGATTGTTTATTGTTGTACCTTTATGTCATGTGCCTTGTTAATTAGAGCAGGCCAAAACCTCTTAAAAAGTAGGGGGAGAGAGGGAAACAGATGGATTTGAAAGATACTGATATTTTCTGATACAAGATTGTTACGAGGGTTGATTGATAGTTTTTGAGCCTCACATGGAAGGGACTGTGTAGTAGTGAAATCTTTTGTTGGGGCCATTTACACTGTGTACTAGGGGTATATCTACAAAAACTGGAGTTTCCCCCTGAAATATTAGTAAGCAGCAGTCTGAAATCTCTGGAAAACAGACAAGTTTGGGGAATGTGCAGTATTTCTGCACATTGGAATAAAATATTTGTGTGTGTCTGTTTTTGTATTGATTTTGCATTTATAAATTAAATATACAAAATATCACAATTTTGTATCCTTTGTAGTACTCCTCTGTTTCATTTAGTGACACTGTTATTAGGTGTGAAAAAAATGTCTGTGCAATAGACCAAAGTATTTCTCTTGCCAGACCTTCTAAGAGAAACTATGGTATCAGCTAAACTTTTCCTTCACATGCCTGATTGTCCCCTCCAGTTAAAACATGTATTTCAGCTTACAACAACAGACACATGCATCAGGTAAGGAAAATGCAGAGTTTACCTAATCTTTAGCCTGTGTATTATGTCATGCTATGGTAAGAATATAAATGAGGCTGGAATAAAATGTGATGAGGATTTTGTCTGGAAAGTAGAATGAAAGGTGGACTTGAAAGAAAAAAACACCCTATGATGTAATCTCTCTCATACTCCATAAAAATTGCACAAAGCAATATTCACACTAATCTTGGCTGAACAATCCAGTAATTGACACCACGAGCATCAATCCACGAAACTGACATTCAGTCACGGAGCCTAACCAACTGATCCACTGACTAGTGCATAGGTTGCCCGGGGCTATAGACTTACACAGAATTACCATTGGTTCTATTCAATAAGAATGAAGGCTGGGATGAAATAGGGACAGATTATGGCTCCTTTATCAAAACAAGGGGGGGAAGAAACAACCTCAACCTCATGTCTCCCCTATTTCATTAGAACACATACTTCAATAAACAATGATGAAATAGAAGTACTTCTCATACACCAGTCAGAAATGTTGGCCAAATTATCCCTGGTATATGTATGTGTCACACTTATCAAGCAACTTCAGTTCAGATAATCTAATCCTCTGGGTTGACATGTCATCATAATGGTATACTGAAATATCCATTTATAATATCAAAAAATAATTTGTTAAGAAGCTACTCACATGATTCATACCACAGGTACTTGGCCTTCTTCCTGAGTTCCCCTACATCTTGACATCGGTCCATGTTCTGCAAACCATTCTCTACCTTTAGCTTCAGTTTGAACAGTTTTGCCAGTTCTGTATTTAGCAAAGTCACTCTTGTTTCTAACTCTTCTAACCGGTTTTCATCAAAATCTTTCAATTGATGTGACCCTGTCTTCACTTCATTCCCATTCAAGTCCGCAATCACAGCCAATAATTCAAGCAATGGAATTTCTAAAATGTCACAGTTTGTGTCAAAATCCATTTCACTTCCCCTCTGTTTCCCTGCTTCGACTAAACGCAATGTCAGAATTCTCAATTTCTCTTTCATTTCTTCATTTTCTGTTTGAAGTGTTATCACTTGTTCCCTGAGTTGTGAGGACTCCTTGTTGAGATCATCAAGATGTTTAGAGTGACTGCCCCTGGATGAAGGTCGAGAGCTTGTCTTTGATTTGGTCTTTGCTGATTCTCTTTTAGGTGAGCTTACTTTTGTGGCAGACATCTTTGATTTTTACGGTTTCCTGCATTACTCAAACTGTCTGAAACAGAAACATTATGAGACTGATGAATCACAAATGAACCTCACATTTAACACCTAACAATAACATACATGAAACTTTTAAGAGTGTAACAATATGAATTCATACTAAAACTGTGTTGCAATACTTTGCTGCATGATTGCACTATATCGATACAAACTTTAAAAATTCTCCTGGTATTGTCAATGGTATGCTTAACAATAGTCAAATATTGTTTAAAAATTGTGGTTAGGCCAGACCAATTTTATTTCTTGTTTTATGGATTCACCGGTGGTATTTTTTCAAGAATAAGAATAAAAATAAAAATAAATTTTCCCCGCTCAAAAAATGAAATCCTAATTTTAATGTGATATAAGTGAAATGCTCTTGAAATCAGTGTGAAACCTAAACTCACTCAACTTATTTTTAGTTGATATAAACAAACCAAAAGAGTTAACATGGAAACTCATGTGGGTATTGCATGAGTGGTTCTGTCACACAGTATAAACACAGATTATAACAGTGACAGGGTGTGAGTGGTTCTGTCACACAGTATAAACACAGATTACAACAGTGACAGGGCTTGAGTGGTTCTGTCACACAGTATAAACACAGATTACAACAGTGACAGGGTGTGAGTGGTACTGTCACACAGTATAAACACAGGTGACAGGGCGTGAGTGGTTCTGTGAGTGGTATAACTGTCACACAGTATAAACACAGATTACAGTAACAGTGACAGGGCGGGGTGAGTGGTTCTGTCACACAGTATAAACACAGATTACAACAGCTGTCACACAGTATAAACAGGATTACAACAGTGACAGGGTGTTGAGTGGTTCTGTCACACAGTATAAACACAGATTACAACAGTGACAGGCGTGAGTGGTTCTGTCACACAGTATAAACACAGATTACAACAGTGACAGGGCGTGAGTGGTTCTGTCACACAGTATAAACACAGATTACAACAGTGACAGGGTGTGAGTGGTTCTGTCACACAGTATAAACACAGATTACAACAGTGACAGGGCGTGAGTGGTTCTGTCACACAGTATAAACACAGATTACAACAGTGACTGGGTGTGAGTGGTTCTGTCACACAGTATAAACACAGATTACAACAGCGACAGGGCGTGAGTGGTTCTGTCACACAGTATAAACACAGAGTACAACAGTGACTGGGCATTCACAAAGAATGTAGGCCAATATTTGACTATTACAGAACAACACAGAACATCTTCAATTGAAAGGGAATCTGGTCCATTCTGAAATTATTTTTGAGGACTGAAAGCCATTAAATTCAACCAATATTCATTTATACATCTGTTTACACTAGCCAAGTAAAGTTAACAAAAATGTACATGTGGTCTAAAAAACATTGCTGTTTCCAGTTTCTGGACTGACCATGTCTGGAATTACCAGTCTTGATTTTTCTCGATGTCTACCATCACTGTTGCACTTCACCATGTATAAACAGTCATTATTTCATATGAATGGAGACCGCCTCTGTGGTGTAGTGGTTAGAGCATCCACCCAGAGAGCAGAAGGTCACCCGTTTGATCCCATGCCACGTCATACCAAAAGACGTTAAAATTTAGTACTTGTTGGTCCCTGTCTGATGCTCGGTATTAATGGGTACAACAAGGACTGGTCGTCTCAGAGTCAGTATAATGTGTCTGAGTGGGATTATTCATGCTTAACTGAGGCATGGTATCTCAGTGAGCTAGCACTATAAAACCAGCTTAAGTCTGGGCTAGTACAAGCAGTCACACATACACAAACGTGCACGTTGTCATATGAGTGAAATATTCTTAAGTGCAATGTTAAACCTCATTTCACGTCACCACATTTGAATGGGCTTAATAAAAGGTTTTAAAAACAACATCTGTCCTTCTTTTGGGACGATGGGATGGAATAGGAAACTCATACATTTTTCTACCAAAATCTGTTGCCCTTCACCATGTATAAACAGTCATTCTTTCACATGAATGGTCTCTATTGACAAGATATGCTTGAAAAAAGGTTTTAAAAACAAAAATAGTCAGTCCACCTTTTGGGTCGATGGGGTGGAATAGGAAACACATACATTTTTCGTTATTTGGCCTTTTCTAAAAATACATTTCCTCCCAACCACCAGCCAAATGGTTTTCAAAAGACAATTTGTCACTCATATCACAAAGCAAATGGCCAAATAGACATTTTATTCCTAATATATGATATTAATGATACGGAAACACACAAGATTAATAATCTCTTTATCATATATAACGTTTTTCTTAAAATTACTCTAAAAAAAGAAGCAAATCGTATGTGAATTTATATGAAGGGAAGCGAGCATTCATATAAGAATACTTAGCGGTACAGCAAGGTGAAGGTCGTTAATGATAGCAACATATGGTTGTGACTATGCAAACATAACTCATGCTTAAAATAAGATCTTTCTGTCTCAAAAGAACAACGAAACCGGGCAGGGCTTTCCTGGCAGTGTTTCCATTTTCATTGCGGGTAATCACCTCATAGAAGGCAGCTGGAATGACATGGGCCAAGCTGAAGAGGATCTCCCAGAACTGCATCCATTGGAGGGGTGTTGTTGCTGCCCCTTTGTTCCCCGAGGAATAAAGAGGAGACAGAATCACCTCATCAATATCAGTTTCTGATACCTGACGGAATCGATTCATCGTCTGTATTGTGATCGATAGATCGAAATCCTTGGTTGGTACCTTTCTTAGACCATCGCCTTTCAGTCATGCCTCATAATCCTTACCTTCAATTTGAACGAAGTATGGTACTCCGTTTCATGTTTTCCAAAGTCAATTACTGCAGTAATGACTCCAGAATCTCTGTCTTCAATTACAGACCGCTGCCATATAGCACTCACTCACTCTGTCATCAATTCTTACAGAATCACCAATTTTGATAATGAGGGCAGCCATGTTTGTTTACAAACTCGTCCATGCAATGTAAACTCGCGACGTCATCAATGAAATGTTAACGTTTTAGGATTCGCATGGCGAGTATGGAGTTTTGTGAAAGTAGTACGTAGATTGACGTAATTTGCATAGTTATCAGATTTGGATACCAAGTTTATCAGATTACACCGATAACACCCTCCATTAGATGAAAAATCACTTTACTGTTTCATTTATGGTCATTAAATCACTAACTAAGTTGACATTTGTATCGTCAACCACTGATCAATCTTACAGCTCAGCCTAAATCAATACCGAAAAACCAACAAAGTTAGTACAACTCATAAATCACTACCATCAATCATTCAGCGATCTTAAATGAGCTTGGAACTACCTAGTGTAATGACCACTCCCATGAACACCTGCCATATTTATAACTATCTCCACCAATTTATGGTACAAATGTTATCGGGCCGACTACTATTGGTGACATTTGTCTCTAATAAACGTGTGCTTGTCAATATTTAACTAGAGACATGTTTTTATCTTGTAGTCAGGAAATTACGTCCATTCAGTGACCCATTGAGTTCAGTTGTTTGACTTCGCTGAATAGTGTGTGAGATAAGTCAGTGCAGGTACATATTTACATCAGACAGAAATAATTTCAACTCTACTCAAACCCAAACAAAACACTTCTGCAATCCATCAGAGGCTAAACATAGAATGACTATTTCTCATTTCTGTAAGGCAAATACATAATGTTTATAAGGCTAACTAACAACCAAACAATATTCTTATCAACAACAGCCAAAAATTTATTGTGACTTTTAAGATTTTTTCTTCAACCTAAATTTTGTTCTGGTAACGCATTTCCATGTGCTGGTTTTGCATTCAACTCAATAAGATGATCACTATGAGATTCATGATATGCAGTCAGAAATTTCTTTCTATCATTATTTAAGCTAAGTATAAATGTAAAACTAAATATGACCTACATACCCTTTTGATTTTAAAACATGTTGAGAAATAAGTCACATTCCTTATGTATCACATGCTACATTAACCGTAAAGTCTGTAAAGTCTCACTGATCGTTTTGTTGGTTGGTTTGTTGTTTAACACCGCTCTCAGCAATATTCCAGCTACATGGTTGCGATCTGTAAATAATTGAGTATTTACCAGACAATAAAGTGATCAACAGCATGAGCATCGATCTATGCAATTGGGATACGATGACATGTGTCAACCAAGTCAGCAAACCTGACCACCCGATCCCATTAATCTCCTCTTACGACATGAATGGATTACTGCAGATCAATTCTAACCTGGATTTTCAAGGGTCCTGATTGTCATGAAGGAAATGTAAGCTCAAGACCATAAATTCTGAAAAACATTATTGCATACAAAATCTACAAAATATTCAAGTGCAAAAAATCTTTTGAGATGACTAGACATGCCAGATCCATCATTATCAGTACATATATACAGTTCATCAACTTACTCAACCAAAATATGTACATGACTGAGGCTTCAGACTGGTGGCTTAATGAAGTATCTGATACACAATATTTCTGATTTAGTTGGTTCTTGTTCATGTTCTCGGTATTTGATTGTGTAATTATGTCACGAATATGACCAACAATGAACATTTTAAGACTCATGTGAACCTGTTTAACCACACGATCTGACAATGTTAAATGTATAAGCCCTGCAGTGACACAAACATCAAAAGATAAACAAGTCTCTCATCTCTCAACCCTACCCCTCGATAACATACTCAACAAATAATCTCCTAAATGTACCGTCACCCATATCAGGTAAACCGTAGTCTAACCCTCTGCTGGGAAACCCAGAGTAACGCCTCAATCTCTAGTCGACCTTTGTGACATTTCGAGACATTTCAGTGACCTCTTATGTTTATTCAGCTATCACAGAGTACTAAAGCGGCAATCAGATTTGCTTATTTGAGTGTTTTAGTGCTCTGTAACGCAATTTGTCATCTTTCTACCAGGGAGATCTCGTTAGCACAGGCAGAGTGCATAACTGATCGATAAACAACTTAAAGACCTCTCAGGAAATCAAGATAGATTATTTTTACTGGTACATTTCAGCAACAGTGATTGTTATCAAGTAATTTTTTTTTCATTCAATGGAATCATTGGACTTGCACGACCTATTTGTCAAATATTCAGTCTGATAAAAGGATATAATCCATTATTGGGCCCAAGAATAAACAACATGCAAACCCTGTAATCTTTTCTAAGCAATTAAACATGACCTATTTTATTTTTGCATGGATCTTTTGCATTCAGTTCCCATATTAATAAAAACCATGTCAGACAACATTGAAAACTGCCTCATTCATTGTCACACTCCACCAATCATGACAACCCTTGATCTAAGCCTTTTGTTTACGTCCAATATATTCACACAGGGCAACATAATGGGTGAATCACATTGAGCTCACATGAAACAAACTTCAAAGCCTAGAAATCTGATCCGGCACCTCAAAATCAATATTGATACATCATTCTACTGGCAAAAAACACATTATACTTGAAGGTAAACCTATTCTTTTCTCAACTGTTACAGCTAGCCTCCAGATTGCTACTTCTGAGACAAAAGACTAGAGTCTATTTCTGGCACTGCAATTGATATCACATGTAAGCCCTGCAAGAAAATTAGAGCTTGTTTCTTTTCAAACATTGTAATTGGATACTGTTGGATTGATATGCACGAGAAATTTGAATTAGAAGACAAAGTGAGTGAGTGAGTGTGTTAGGTTTTACACCGCTTTTAGCAATATTCCAGCAAAATCACAGGGGGGACACAAGGGCTTCACACATAATGTGCCAATGTGGGGAATCGAACCTGGGTTTTTGGTGTGACAAGCGAACGCCTTAACCACTAGGCTCCCCCACTGCCCTAGAAGACAAAGTGTTTTTGATATACTGGAATAAAATTAACAGGATTAAGCAATTGGTCTGAGCACAGACCCCCAAAACCCCTTTACCTTTTAATTAGGAGGGCAGTGGGGAACCCTAGTAATTAAAGTGTTCACTCATCATGCCAAAGACCTGGGTTCGATTCCCCACATGGGTACAATGTGTGAAGCCCATTTCAGGTGTACCCATCCGTGATATTGCTGCAATATTGCTAAAAGCAGCGTATAACTAAACTCACTTGAAATTAGTTAGCATTTCTGGTTTTGTTTGTATGACAAGGACTTATACCAATACATAACAATATTTGTATTTCGTTCTATATTAACGTTTATTTACATGTTCACTCTTTTAAGGATTACAATACTGAAAAGATCTACACTAAGAAAAAACCCTGACCTCTCTCTAAAAATGATTGATGAATCATGACCTCTGATTACTGTGAAGACTTAACAAACAGAGCAAACACTTCACTAAAAGAAACAAATACTTCTTGTAACACTATGACCTAAACAGGTAAGTATCTATTCTTTTGATGCATATGTTTTGTGAAAAGCAATATGAGCATAGTCTCTGAAATACACTCTGAAACATGATTATCCAAAACAAGTGTACAAAACTTTGGCTACATTTCTTCAGTTTCAATCTACAAACAAAGAGATTCCCTGGACTCTACCAAAAACATTTACATATTTTCAGGTAAAGGATTAGAAATGATCAGATACACAAAGTAAAGTTTATATGGAGCCTTTGCAATTCCAGTGTTCAGAAATAGTTATTAAATGTGTTCAAATGAAAGAGATTATGACATTGTAATTTTCCACATAAATTGTTTTACATAACATTAACAAGAATGTAAGATGCAAGACTGAAAGGTGTTAAAAAAAAGATTCTAGAATTTAAACATGAGCCAGTCTAAGATAAATGGTTACTTTTAAAATATAAAAATGTCACTGCAAAAGAATACCTAATGTTGATGTTCCTCAGAAATTGAAATGTACACATGACAAGTGTATGGTATAAAACTCATGTGTCAAAAGGTGGTCTTATTCACAATTTCTACACACTCTTATCCACATAATTTGTTGAATATATCAAGAAAGAAATAACAAAACACAAACATCATCATCATCCTAACAATATTTCAAATTTGAATGTACCTGAACAATTAGAAAATTCATCCCCAAAAGACCCTTATGCTCTGTCATCATGTACATTTTCTTCCTGATGAAGTGAAACATCTAAGATAATGAAATCAGTTTTCAAAATCATGGTGGGCCCTGTGGTCTGTCAAATCTTCTGTGGTATCTCATGACAGGAACCCTTTTAATGTTAATATTTTAACATTGGATTAAGGCAAAACATACCAAACCTTAACTTCCAAAAATATTTTCAAACAGTTTGAATAAGTGTTGACTCACTTACCATGAGCAAGTCCTTCCAGCCATTACAGATCTATACATGGCTGGCTTGCCACTGTTTACTGGTTGATACAAACAGTTCCAGCAGGTGTTGCTGTTATACTGTCTATTCAGATTGTAAAAGCAATTGAAATATGTGTTTGCTGTGAGTGGACTAAAGGAGTGAATAGAAAACTGGGACTGATTTGTCCTTTCCTCTGCTGCATTATGTCACATGGTGATTCAAGTTGTCTGCCGACTAGTTCTTACTTGTACTGACTAAATGTCACAAGCAGGAATATCAAATCAGCTGAACAATGACGAACTAAAATGATATTTATTAGAGGTATTATTCTTACTGAAATAATGATAGTGCGAGTGTTGAAAATGTGACTAACTTAAAACAATATTTACCAGATGTACTATTCTTAGTGAAATAACTATGCCAGTGTCTGAAATCAAGCATAAATGTGACTGGTTCCTTGTCAGGATGTTAAGATTTAGGGGGGTCCATTTAGGAAGTCCCTGGATTCAAGTGAGTGAGTGAGTTTAGTTTTACGCCACACTCAGCAATATTCCAGCTATATGGCGGCGGTCTGTAAATAATCGAGTCTGGACCAGACAATCCAGTGATCAACAGCATGAGCATCGATCTACGCAATTGGGAACCGAAGACATGTGTCAACCAAGTCAGCGAGCCTGACCACCTGATCCCGTTAGTCGCCTCTTACGACAAGCATGGGTTACTGAAGGTTCATTCTAACCCTGACCTTCACGGGTCCTAAATTCAAGCATCGAAGAAGCAAATACACTGAGCCTCAAGGATCCTTCCTGATATCAAACAATGACAATAAGGAAAACAAAAACTATTTTCAGAAAAAAAAAAGATAATTTTATCATCCAAAACTGTGTTCCAGAGGAGATATTCGTTGTGTAAGACCATACGATATCTCCTAGGAGATATTATTTTGACAGTAGATTTTGTACAATGTATCGACAATGTTATGACATCATGAACTTGATGACGTCACAATGCTATGACATTGCTGCACTGCAAGTCTTATATCTTTTGATATCAAATATATCAACACTTGTTGTAAAAAGTAAAATATCCTTGGCAAGCCTCGGATATTTGTAACTTTATCAACTCATGGTGATATATTTGATATCAAAAGCCACTCGAGTGAGATTCTCTATGTACTATGCAACAACAAAAAATATTAACTGTTTTCAGCATCACTAAATCAGCAGTTTCTAATCATGGAGAATATATGGCAATGTCCTTGCTATTAAAACTGTTGAAACTGAAAAAAACATCCATTTGGAAAAAGAACATGATTTTTTGCTTTGACATAAAGTCTTCAATGGTGTCCTCCCTAAACAAACTACAAACATGATCTGGCAAAGTGGAAACAAAAATTACATAACAAGGATGAAACTTTTAAAAAAAGGGTCTTAATGAATAACGTTTTAATCCAAGTTGTTACTAAAGCAATTGTACAGGTGATTGACACCATTCACTAACGAGATAACCCTTAAAAGATCCAAGAATCATTCAGTATTTAATGGGCATGAATATAACAGTGAGTGCATTATAAAGGATTATATATTGAAGTGACGACAATTGGCAAATAAATATGTCTAAATAGTCAATCAACACTGTCGGAACTCAATCTGTCATTAGCATTGTTTTGGAAAGAACATTTTACATGCTGTATAGCTATGAATTCAGTTAACAAATTCCAAATGCATTAATGCCTCAATATATGTGTACTGTGAAAATGCAAGAGAAAACGTGTTTCATGAATATTCAAAAGATGTAATGAATGTTGCACTGTTATTCCAAAGGACACTTCAGGAGTCAATGCACTTTCAAACACAAGCTAATATTATCAGAGAGATAACAGAGACTCTTTTCAAGCCTAAGCACCTGAAAATATGTTCACAACATGTTCTTTTCAATATAAACTGATATGACAGCTTTCATTCAATAGGTCAGGAATTATCAAACGACTGTACACCGTTAAGCCTCTACTTATACATGTCTTCTATAACATACATAACAATGTGCAAATCCCGCGAGATTTCAATATCAACAGAATCAAAAGAGCCCATTTCATAGTAATCTTGTCCACGAATCTTATAATGTTGTTGAAAAAAGACAGGTGTTCTGAATAAAATCATGAAACAATGATTAGAAACATGTTTCGATACATATCATGTGAGTAGCAGACAGGTACTCGCTTCGCCAAACTGTCGCGTCCAGATTCAAAAACGTAACAAAAAGAATTTAAGTTACCTTTTAAAACTGTCACTGTACAATCCTTGACTCTCCCGCGCCGACAATAACGGGTCGCTATCAATATAGGGCTCTGACAATACCCGCTCACGACCATTCAGTTTACATTGGATACGGCGTTATAAAACCAGGGCAAAGCCGGTCCGCCATGAGGGAACTTGGCGCTACATTGGTGTCAATTTATTTGGGAATTGTTGACGAATGATAGCTCTTTTAACTAGTAAGGTTAAATATCTGGACTAGATTTTTCATTAACAATTCACCCTTTTTACTGAAAATCCAACAGAATATAATCGGAACTTTGTCCCGGTTTCCGATGATCCGATTTGTCGATTTGTTTACATTCTGTATACTATGTTCTTTGCAACTATCAATATATAAGATTTCGCAAGAATACGCCAAAATGGTGTAAGCCTTAAGTGACAATATTTGATACGTCATACATTGTATACAAGTATCAATTTCTATAAATTGATGATAGTCACTTTTTCGCACTTCAGGTGTGAGGCCATACCAAACCTTTTTCATATGATACAGATTTTCCTCTTTTACATTCCAAAACACTGGTGTTAATAAATAAAATCATTGTTTTCAAAGTTGATTTGAGATTATATTCGTTGAATAAACCACTCTTTAAAATAAACAATATATGTCAGTTAATACAAACATAATCATGGTCTAGATAAGGACATTTTCAGTGGATCAACATATCTTTCGCACTTACTATTTAACTTTTTAAAGCAAACTCATCGAAAAAAAGAAAAAACACATTTACTATTTTTTACTGTTTGACCTTGTTTTGAATTTGTTTAAGCATATTTGTTATCACAGTCATGTTCATATCACTATTTGTCTATGGGACACAAGAAATGTTAATGTTGTCAGTAACTAACCAACCATTTAATCTTATTCGATGAATTAAAATAAATTCACCTCCAGGGATGACAGAATCAATACCTGGGAAGACAAATGCATTTTCTTTCGTTCATGGCCAGTAAAAATAATTGTAACAAAAATAAATCCCTTATACAGGAATGACCTAAACAACAAATCCAAAGAAACATTTAATTAAATGATAATGTATGCTGTACATACAAATAACATTGACTAATGCTGTTGATCATTCTTAAAAACTTAAAATAAAACTGTATACCAAAAGGTAATGGCAAATATACTAAAACATGTATTTGTAAAATATTGTTGGTGACTTGATAAACATTATGATTGTATCCAATCCCAAGTTCTTTTCTTGCTTTCAGAATGTTCATATTCTATATTCCAAGATAGAAATATTGTCAGGAATATCTTGAGATTAGATTCAACAAACCAACCTCTCCTGAAATACATGCATTTATATAATGGTGTCCAAGAAAACATGTTAAAATATATAATTAAGAGTATCATATTTATATCTGTTTTACAACATGCAGAGTAGGGTCATCTGTCAAAACAGATAATAAATATGTCTGGTCTTTTATATGAATAAATTGCCTAGCCCTTCTTCAGTCAAAGTACCTGTGATGTATCACGTTCACTTTACTTTGTTGTGCCGTATAAAATGACACTGGAATAACATAATTTCTGTCTAGTTCTTTTCTAACACCAAATACATAAGTACAGGACTTTGATCAAATACGTATTTGTGGGCGAGATTAAAATAAGTTGCTGAGAACATTTCTCAGGCTACGTCCCTCATCGAATAAGCAGCCAGCAGTTGTGACGAAAATAGTAGATTCTCTGGGAATACGAAAATAGAATTTACGACTGTTAGATAGCTTTACTTACTAAGTTTATTCGAAACTATGTCTGAAAGTCAACGAATGTCAAGCGCGTCACTTCCGTAAACAGAAATGGCGCTGTCAGAAGAGACAGGCTCCGAAGAATCGATCGATATTTGGTCTAGTATGACTGTGCTCGCCTGTTTCATTGCTTAACTCTCGTCCTAACAGAATTCAGCCAGTTCCCATAAGATTGAATCATTGATCCTTCTTCGATGAGGGTTTACTGAGCAGCAGACGGTATCTTTCGATTTCTTTGAGGACATGGAAAAGGTTTCGGTGGATGGGAATTACACCGTTTAATTGTTTGCCTTTTACATCCGAATGAACCATAGCGGCTTATTCACCAACAATATCACTTGGTTATAGTTAGGTGTATGGATAATTTATCACATTTGGAACTGGTGGCCCGATGACATCATGGTTCCTTGAAGTGCAACGGAGGGGAATCCCAGTGTGAAGATTCTTTTGGAGCAGTAAGCAGAGTAGGCTTGTATGCACACAGGTTTGTCAGTCATGACTTTAACGTAACATTCTGTTTAGAACAAAGACACAGCTGATTTATTTTAGTTTTATTGTTTCACTGGTACAAATGATTTGCTATGCAAAAATCTTCTGAAATTCGACAGTTCCCAAGAGATCATCCAGTTAAGGCCCCTTTGGCTACATTTGACACTATTGACTTGGGTGATGAGCTTCCGAAGACTGCTATTTGTTCTTCCTTGAAAATTCAAAGGCCTGAGCAGGCACATAGTCAAGCCACTTCTGTAAGCCAAGTTCCTTCTCACAATAGCAAACAGGCATGTCAACCTTGTGCTCAGTCACAGGCAGATAAATCAAAGCAACAAGTTCAGGCAAAGGAATCTAATTCACTGAGAAATGCCCTTGGCAGAGATGGAAATAAGATCAAGACAGGTGGGCAAGTAGAAAGAGATCAGTTATATTCAGCAGGAAGGAATCTTCCCTCTGTGAATTCAGATGCAGTTTATCGTGATAGAGAGAATGAAGAAGGATTTGAAAATTATGTTTACATAAGTCATATTCCAGCAACTGATTTGAAAGAGAAAGCCATCATTGTTGGGACAAGGAAGCCCGTTGAAGGTCAGAGTATTGAAGTGGGGAGGGTACAGCCTACTTCCCAACAAGTTACCAAGATTGAGCCTCCTTCAGTACCTAAGTTATCACGGACATCATCGTCATCATCAAGTTCTGATTCAGATTCGGATGTACGTAGTGTGAGACCAGTGAAAACAAGGAGACCACTGCAGGTGAGAAGATATGTTACCAACAGTCCTCGATCAAGCCCTGTTACTCTTTCTCCTGAAATAATTGACCCAACAACTATAACATCACCTTCCAAGAGAAAGGCATACGAGAGAGAAACGCCTTCAGCGGTTGCAAGTCAAAACGTCCCCAATTGCCAGACCTAGAAGCACTACACCAATCAATGTGGTTACTCTTGAAGAATATGTTGTACTAAGTTCCCCAGAAAAATCTCCAAATTCACCAAGTGTTGCAGAAAAACTGAAAATCACCTTGCCACCAGATGAATTTTGTGTGAAACCCAGAAGTCCTAGAAAGTCTCCAAGGGTGAAAAGTAACTCAGAAGACGAATCCTGCTTTGAATTTAATGAGGAACTTCTATTTAGTCACACCCGATCTGCTTTGTTAATTACTGAAGACGGAAAAGTACCAGACTCCCCTAGAAGAGTGTTGATTCCACCAACTATTTCACCTTCATCATCCCCTAAATTAGCACCTGCCACAAAACTAAAGAAAGAATTAGACGGAGTGCCAGGGACACCCACACTTGTTTATATCCAGTCCCCTGACAACGAGAACTGGGCAACATTTCCTGATACCACAGACTCCAACATTGCCGAAAGTGATAACTGCCAAACTAACCCACTCCAAACTGGAAACAGTAGGGACAATTCTGCAGAGAGTGATAACAGCAAACCTGCCTCCTATGCAAATAGATCCTCAGTTGATCCTTGTGATATAAACAACGAAGAAGAGGAGTTCTTAACTATTAATATTGAAGAAACTGGTGCCAGTGGAAAGTGTGGAATAGACATTGTTCTGTCTTCCAGTGGGAGCAGTAACATACCCAGCCCCTCAACCCCTGAGAAAGTCCCCTTAGAAACCCCCCCTACCTAGTCAGAATGGGGAGACTGTGAGCTGTTCCGAATCTCTTCCCATTTCTCGCACCTCCAGTGTTAAAAGTACCAAAGAGGAAGAACTAGTAGACAAAGTGCTGTCCTCTTCTCCAAGAGAAACTTACCTGTAGACAACCCAGCCAAAATAGCAGTAGAAATGTTGGTAAGTATGTAACATATCTATCCCTATGATCAATTTCACGAACAACATTCTTCTATTTTGTATGGTGGTGAACAATTTAGAAAAAAGAACATTCCTGGGAATAATGTTTTATGGTCATCACAAGTCAGCAAAAGTAATCATTCCCGAAAAAGCTGATACAGCAAGTGACTGTATCTATGCACCTTTGATAGTATATGTAGTATGTGCTGGGTGATGTCTTTGATCCTGGAAAATATCCTCAGTTGCTTTGATCATGTCAATCACATTGCATATATCACTGGCATGAAGTTTCCTGAAAGGACACTGTGCAAGAGAAAGTCCTGTTCAACCTTCAAGTTACAGCAACAAAACCTTTGTTCCAATTACTATAATGGTAAAATGCATATCAACAGTGTAATTGTATTTTCTGCTTTAGATCTTTCATATGTCTCTGGCTTGATTATGTTGCAAGGTTTATCTGAGAGACCAGCATCACTTTCGGACATCAAGTTGACACACTGTGATATGAATGAAATCTGGTACAAAGTGGCATTTAGAACTACTCACCCACTCACAGAGTTCCTCCTAGGTATAGATATCTGCAACATATCGTACAGCTATGTAATGACAGTATATCAAGCTGGCCTCTATTTTTTCCGTTCACTTTGATTTGATAAATTGTTTGTCGAACAAAAAACAACACTTCTGGAACTACAAGTTAGTACAACACCATGGGAATACAGGTATCTTTATTCTTTGCCCTGTTTACTGTGAAGCAGTTCAAATGATGGTGCCTGTTTCTTTCCAAAGTCTTTCAAAGGAAGCTGTCATGCAAAACTAACTGAGTTTTATTGATGGTTTTATGCCAAGTTTCTGGAACTACAGGTATCCTGATTTTTTACCATGTTTACTGTGTTATTTGTTTGCATGGCAGATCAAATTATGTCCCCTGTCCCCTCAGTCTCTCAAAGGAAAGATAATGGATATGAGTGATTGATTTTATATCAAGCAAAGAACAGCGTTCATGGAAAACAAGGAAACATACATACTTTCTCTCACAGTTAATATTAGTAGGATGTGAAATTAGTTGTGAATTAAGGACCTCTTGTGAGTCAGTGGCCTCGTGTGCCATGTGTCTGGTAGATATTACATCAGGTCACTGTGACTTTGTGGGGCTGCTACAGAACAAGTGCTTGTCGACACGGAACATATGTCGATTAGCAGGAATGTGCAGATCATTGATCATTCCTGTTTTTAGCATCAAGGATTATTTTCTAAATGTACCTATTATGTTTGATTTGGGATAATGTAGTCCTAAATGTTCAACTTGGGATCTTTTAGTCATAATGTTTGACTTAAGATCATGGTGTGTGACTTCAGGTCATGTAGTTGTCATAATGTTTGACTTAAGTTCTTGTAGTCATAAGGTTTGACTTGGGATCTTGTTATGATGTTTCACTTATGGTCATGTAGTAATGAGTGGCTTGAGATCTTGTCATAATGTTTGACTTGGCATCTTGTAGTCATAATGTTTGACTTGGGATCTTATAGTCATAATGTTTGACTTGGGATCTTGTAGTCATTATGTCATTATGTATACCCCAGGAGTCCCACTGTGTGGGAAATTCATCATGCAATCAACCACAAGGCCCCTGACCCAGACTTGACTGAAAATAACATTTGTTCAGTCTCAGCTGTTATTTAGTTCCATGATCTGTGATTTGTTTGTGTTTCCTGGAGATGAATCATTTAGTTTCAGTACAATGAAGTCTGATATGTTAGAATCATATGCATCAATAATGTTAAAAATTGTGACACATCTGAGACTAACTCTTATGAGACGTGATATACCAGGCACCATCTCAGCTGTGACAAATGTGAAACTGAATGTGATGAGACATGATATACCAGACACCATCTCAACTGTGACAAACATGTGACTGAATGTGATGAGACATGATATACCAGACACCATCTCAGCTGTGACAAACATATGACTGAATGTGATAAGACGTGATATACCAGACACCATGTCAGCTGTGACAAATGTGAGACTGAATCTCATGAGACGTGATATACTAGACACCATCTCAACTGTGACAAACATGTGACTGAATGTGATGAGACGTGATATACCAGACACCATCTCAACTGTGACAAATGTGAGACTGAATGTGATGAGACATGATATACCAGACACCATCTCAACTGTGACAAACATGTGACTGAATGTGATGAGACATGATATACCAGACACCATCTCAGCTGTGACAAACATATGACTGAATGTGATGAGACGTGATATACCAGACACCATGTCAGCTGTGACAAATGTGAGACTGAATCTCATGAGACGTGATATACTAGACACCATACTCAACTGTGACAAACATGTGACTGAATGTGATGAGACGTATTACTGATATACCAGACACCATCTCAACTGTGACAAATGTGAGACTGAATGTGATGAGACATGATATACCGGACACCATCTCAACTGTGACAAACATGTGACTGAATGTGATGAGACATGATATACCAGACACCATCTCAGCTGTGACAAACATGTTACTGAATGTGATGAGTTGTGATATACCAGACACCATGTCAGCTGTGACAAACATGTGACTGAATCTCATGAGACGTAATATACCAGTACTAGACACCATCTCCACTGTGACATATTTGAGACTCAATCTGATGAGACATGATATACCAGACACCATCTCAGCTGTGACAAACACCATCTCGGACACCATGTCAGCTGTGACAAACATGTGACTGAATGTGATGAGACGTGATATACTAGACACCATCTCAACTGTGACAAACAAGTGACTGAATGTGATGAGACGTGATATACCAGACACCATCTCCACTGTGACATATTTGAGACTCAATCTGATGAGACATGATATACCAGACACCATCTCAGCTGTGACAAACATGTGACTGAATGTGATGAGACGTGATATACCAGACACCACCTCAGCTGTGACAAACATGTGACTGCATGTGATGAGACGTGATATACCAGACACCATCTCAACTGTGACAAACATATGACTGAATCTCATGAGACGTAATATACTAGACACCATCTCCACTGTGACATATTTGAGACTCAATCTGATGAGACATGATATACCAGACACCATCTCAGCTGTGACAAACATGTGACTGAATGTGATGAGACGTGATATACCAGATACCATCTCAGCTGTGACAAACATGTGACTGAATGTGATGAGACATGATATACCAGACACCATCCAGACACCATCTCAACTGTGACAAACATATGACTGAATGTGATGAGACGTGATATACCAGACACCATCTCAGCTGTGACAAATGTGAGACTGAATGTGATGAGATGTGATATACCAGACACCATCTCAGCTGTGACAAATGTGAGACTGCATGTGATGAGACGTGATATACCAGACACCATCTCAACTGTGACAAATGATATACGAGACACCATCTCAACTGTGACAAATGTGATACTGAATCTGATGGGACGTGATACAACAGACCACCAGGATGAAACTGTCAGTGGAAAATCAATGGTATTGGTAACCATGTTCACACAACTTTGTGGGAGCCACTTTACTGATTTGCATTCTTTGTTGAACATAGAATGAAACAAAATATTGCCTTGAATACTGATTCACAATTCTGTAGCGAAGACCAATCACTGGTAAGCCCTCCATTTCCTGACGTCCGAAACCTTGTCGACTTGTGATGTGGTTAATGTGGTTATCCACGTGAGTCATGTGGAAAGGGTGTCGGACCTCGCAGCAGGTGCATGGTTCGTTTCCCTCCCGCGGAATTGGAAAGTTTGTTCCCACTACATCTGCCCCAATAGGCTAATCAAATCCATATGAACACCAAATATATCATGGAACTCATGTGTCATGGGTGCTGCTTTTTTTAAGGGTTTGCCCTTTTGGGTCACGTTGACACAACTCCAACCTTCAATCAGAAGGTCATTGAATTGAATCCCAGCAAAGGATTTTGTTACAGGTATACACGAATTGCCTTTGTCCATCTGCTGTAATAATGCTGAAATTTAAGTTCAAGTGTTCTGTAAGGATACCAAAGAGACCATGGGCAAACTTGGTCAAATATTTGTCAGTATTCACCCTTTATTGCCATTTATGGACGCGCAGTGTGGCTGTTAGCATAATTACTGTAAGAATGGAAGTTTTCTTGTTGCAGTATGGTTACTGTCAGACTGCATAGTGTGCAGATCCCTACTTGAGTGAATTTAGCAATAGAGTAGGTGGATGGATGGCAAGCTTGACTCCTGGGCCTAGATTTTTGAAGCTCTCTTAGCGCTAAGATAGTCGTAGATTAAGTCGAAAATTAATGTTAATGTATGGCACTTACGACAATCTTAGCGCTAAGAGAGCTTCGAAAATCTAGGCCCTGATAATTTTGTAGGAAATTAGCCTAGTAAGTTGTTGGGCAGCCAGCATACACACCTTCTTCAGCCTTGCTCCAGCAACAACATGTGGTGTCTTCTGAAGCAAGCGACTCCAACCTGCTATAAAATGGATATATGATAGGATAAGTAGTGTTGTTCAAAAACCTTCTAGCCCCTAGCAAGCTTGTATCCTCCAAAGGGATCTGAGAATGTTGTTCTTGATGGGACATTGTTAAGAAGGCAGCTGCATGTTTCATTTGGACAGCCCCACCACTGTGTACTTGATGGGACATTGTAGAAGTGTGGCTGCATGTTTCATTTGGACAGCCCCACCACTGTGTACTTGATGGGACATTGTAGAAGTGTGGCTGCATGTTTCATTTGGACAGCCCCACCACTGTGTACTTGATGGGACATTGTAGAAGTGTGGCTGCATGTCTCATTTGGACAGCCCCACCACTGTGTACTTGATGGGACATTGTAGAAGTGTGGCTGCATGTTTCATTTGGGCAACTAAACTACCCTGTGCTTCAAGGCCATTGTTGAAGCTATGATATATAAGTTATTATCACCTGCATGTGCTTTA